TTAATTTCCTTTACTTTTATCAAGTTTCTCTTATCACAAGATAAAATGGCTAGTGGCTTGACATTGTGCTAAAAGAAATATGACTACCAGGATAAAAATTATCTACTACACATTTTTTGAGATTCTTCTAAATGGCAGGCTTTAGAATGAATGTTAGAAAGCCTTTATTTTTCAGTATTATAAGTCTGCTTTCTAATACATATGTATATTCATTTGAATATGTGTGCGTATGGGGGAAAGTTCTATACCAATTTAACACCCCCATCCCCACCCTGCAGATTGTAAATTCAGACCAATTAAGTCTAAATATTTGCTCCCTTATTTAGTAGCTGTGTAACCTCAGACAAGTGATCAAATGTCTCTATACTAAAACTGCCTCATGAGTATGATAGGAATAGTACAAATAGTCATGGTCACAGTCCTCTCGTTGTTCATCGATTTTGCTCGAGCGGGCCCAGTAACGTCTCCATCATGAGACTTGTTGTTAATGTGTTTGGCATATCGAGTACGTCAGGGGGTAGCTTTCCAGGCTCTGCCATGCGGGCGAGATACTCTCGGTAGCTTGCCAGGCTCTCCGAGAGGGACAGAGGAATCGAACTCGAGTCAGCCATGTTGGCTGCGTGCAAGACAAATGCCCTACCACTGTGCTATTGCTCCAGCCCAGTACAAATAGTACAATAGTACAATTAAACAGTATATTTACATGGTACCTGGTACATGATAGCACTGTAGCACTGCTCTCCGGTTGTTCATCGATTTGCTCAAGTGGGCCCAGTAACTTCTCTGTCGGGAGACTTGTTGTTACTGTGTTTGGCATATCCAATATGTCACGGGTAGCTTGCCAAGCTTTGCCGTGTGGACGAGATACTCTGGGTAGCTTGCTGGGCTCTCCGAGAGGGACGGAGGAATCAAACCCGGCTCAGCCAGACCAGCTGCATGCAAGGCAAACGCCCTACCACTATGCTATCGCTCCAGCCCAGGTACATGATATCTCCCCAGCCCAGGTACATAATAAACACCAATAATAATTATTATTTTCACAGTATACTTTTAGTTTGACACATACTCTAAGAGCTTATGACTATATTCCCAAGTGAAATCAGTTCCTTTAACAAACTATATTCAACTTATATTGGGCTAAATTAGCTTTTAAAAAAATGGGTTGTCAGTACACTTCTGAAAATCACTTTATCTAGAAAACAGTATTTTTGTAAAATGTTTTTATTTTTTTATAATGTAGGAGTACTGCATTTGTTCAGTAAAATATTTTTTAAATGAGAGAAATAACCCACAAAATCTTCAGGCAAAATTACCTAATGGAAGAAATAATGAGTAGCAGAGAAAAAGGAGCTGTTGTCCAGTTAAATCAACCTCTACCAGTTACAGGGTCACAATGGGTATGACCATTGCAAATGCAATTTATTGCCAATTTCTTTCACCTACTTCAATTTTTATAATACCATTAATTTATGTATTTCCTGGCTTTGAGCCATACCCAGAGATGCTAAGGGCTTACTCCTGGCTCAGTGCTCAGGAATTACTCCTGGTGGGCTTAGGGGACTGTTTATAAGGTGCCTGAAATTGAATCTGGGTCAGTCTTGTGCAAGGCAAGCACATTACCTGCTGTACTATCGTTGTGCCCTCCCCAACATTTTAACTGAGATTAACATTAAGTATGCTACAACAACAGAAAAGAAATTACACAAGGATATAGTTATTTCTCTGATAGACTGAAATCTCAGATTTTTAAGAGTTATTAATCAACTGTCAGATTTGTTCAAAAGCATCCCTGAGATTACTCATATCATATAAAACTCTACTCACATAATTTTTCTCATACAACACAAAGTAATATTCTAAACATAGGATACACAAAAGTAGCTAAATGTAACCTCAAAAGAAAATCCATAATTTACCCAATTTGGTGAGGGTGGGGAGGAACTTTGGGAAATTTCTGCCTGGGGTCAAATGTGGAGTCTTTTTGTTGTTGTTGTTTTGGGGACATTCCTAGTGGTACTCAGGAGTTACAGTCAGCTTGGTCCTGTGATTAACTCCTGGCAGTGCTAGGAACTGAACTCAGGATGCTTAAATTCTAAACATGCATTCCATACTAATGATCCATGTCTCCAGCTCCATCAGAATCCATAATTTTAATATCTGTAGTTAATAACTAAAATCAAACTTATTCATGCAACAAACTGCAGAATTTTACTTGCTCTAATTCTAATTTCATAAAATGGAAAGCTAGTTTGAAACACGAACAGTTTAAAGAATAGCAACCATTCTGGAAAGCATATTAAACAGAAAAGGACTATAAAATGTGGTTTCTAAAATTGTGCATCAAATCTGACATTAAAATAAGTGCTATTGTTTTAATGGATTACTCGCAAAGGAGCTGAGATTTCTAGATCAAATAGGCTCTCTTCAACTACGATGTATACAATTAAAAATAATTGTCCTGTCCACTGTCTGTCCTCCGGTTATTCATCGATTTGCTCGAGCGGGCCCAGTAATGTCTCCATTGTGAGACTTCTTGTTACTGTGTTTGGCATATTGAATACTCTTGGTAGCTTGCCAGGCTCTCTGAGAGGGGCAGAAGAACTGAACCCAGCTCGGCCGGGCTGGCTGTGCACAAGGCAAACGACCTACCGCTGTGCTATCACTCCAGCCCAAAAATAATTAAAGTACTTATTAAATAATACTTTGAACATATTTATAAACCCAAATATCAGTGACCTAATAATTAAAACAAACTAAAAAAAAATCCAAAAAATCAGAATCTATTTTCATGATCCACACAGGCTGAAATTCAAGACAAGCACAAAAGACATCTTATATGAATGAATATCTGGACTTCACAGGAAACACAAGGAGATTGACACATCAGCATAAACAACCAAAAATTTTCATTGTGATTACAGACAACCAGGTTATTTACATGATAGGTTTTATATTTGTGTTTTATATTGAAATGCTAAAAATTGGATAAATATTTTACAACACTACTATAAATACAAATTCAAAAATTTTATGTCACCTTACTAAGGAGAACTGGAAATGTGTAAGATCATTTAATATTCTTAAAACTCACTTTAAGAATAGTAAATTTAGTAAATTGTAAATTTAAAAGAAACACTTCAACTGAAATAGTAAAGGTAATTGTTATTTCTATTTTTAGTAAAATGAAATCAACTCATTTAAAGAACCAGAGTAAGTCCCTTTAGTAACATGCTTTGTGGAAAACAATTATTTTCAATATTTTCTTTTCTATTTGGGTCACACCTGGCAATGCACAGGGGTTACTCCTGGCTCTGCACTCAGGAATTACCCCTGGTGGTGCTCAGGGGACCATATGGGATGCTAGGAATTGAACCTGGTTGTGCAAGGCAAACGCCCTACCCGCTGTGCTACTGCTCCAGCCCCCAATTATTTTATTTAAAAAAAAAAAATTTTCATGTGAGGTGTTTAGGGCATATATAGAATATTTACCTAGAAAAGGTCCTTTTTTTTAACCAGATCTTGAAGTACAGAACAAATATAACTAACTACTGTACAGTATTTAGATGACCCTCAAACTAATCTAATAGTTTTATCAAATAAAATTTGTAACATGAAAGCTCTTAAAATTCTTTAGCTTAAGATATTTTTTCTCCAAAAAACTATACAATAATCTTTATGCTCAATTTTTATGATAAATTTTTATCACTTTAATTATGAAATTCAGTTTGGTCCTTTACATATGTCTGATACTACAGGTGTATACTAGAAATATTTTATAGTTTTCTTTTGGTTTTTGGGTCACACCCAGTGGTGCTCAGGGCTTACTCCTAGCTCTATGCTCAAGGATCGTTCCTAATGGTGGTTGGGGAACTACAAGGGGTGCCAGAGATTGTATCTGGGTAAACTACATACAAGGCAAATGCCCTACACACGGTACAATCACTCTGGCCCCTATTTTATATTTTACAATTATCTAGTTGTAGAAAGAAAAAGTAAATATTAGGATTAAGTCCCTGAAATGACACCAAAATACTTATAGAAACTTATAAAACTGGCAGCAATGTGACTCTGTTTTCCCAAGTGTCTCTCTAAATTTACTGGGGGCAGAGGGTGAGGTGGGGGTGGGAAAATAGGGAATTTCAGAACAGGAAAGAACTTGACAGTAGGATACACAGATAAGAGATTATGCTGAATAGTTGGTTACATGTAATCTTGAATAGACTTTGTGTTCAGAAAAATGCTCTGAAAGGGATAAACATATGACGAGGAAAATCTATTCTGTTATTTACTAGCGGTGCTCAGGGCTTACTTTTGGTTTGGAGCTCAGGGATCACTCCTGATAAGACTTAGGGGACTATATATGTATATAGAGTGCCAGGGATCAAAACCCAGGTCGACTGGTGATGCAATGCAAGTGCCTTACCCACCATACTATCATTTGGCCCCAGGAAGAAAATCTTTGAAAATAAACCACAATGAAAGAAACTAGAATCTAAAAGTTTATAATACGTTCATTCCCCTGAAATACTGTGTATTTTTTTCCACAGGAGAGAAACACTGTTAGATACATTCTTAATTCTTTCTTTGCTAGAATATAGTAATGATCTGTGTGCAAAGATTTCTTATCTCAAAAAAAAAATAAAATGCATGAGGAAATAGGCTCATTGAAAATATACTCCAACCATACATTAATAAAATTTATTTTCTAGTGTGGAACAGAGACTTCTCCGATTCTATTAGCTGCATCTGTGAATTAGACATTTTATTGTATTTCAAAAAGTATACAGATTTTACTGAAGAATATCCAATTTCAGGTTGGAAGACACAACATTGAAGGTCTGTTCTTGGTTTTGCCAAAAACTCAGCTTGCACTGTGGACTTAATTTCAACAGAACCCTACAAAGTTCTCCCAAATGAACTTTTTCAATCTACTGAACAGACTTTCAGCAGCATTTATCTCTGAAAAACACATCAAAGTCACTCAAACATCAAACTGCTGATTGAGAGAATAATTTATTTTCCCACCACAGGAGTCTTGAGTGGCTTTTTCTGAGGTATGTGTTTGAGCTATGAAGGACAGCCACACCTGAAGGTTTCTCTATAGTAGTAATATTTTATGGCTGGACAGTCTCTGCAGGTACCAGATTCCCCGTTGTATCCAACTGCATACATTTACACGTACATGCAGACACTGGGCATTCTGCATGGTCCCTAAAAAATAAGTAACAGTTAAAAATTTAAATTACACATGCATATGTAGATTTATCATTGTACCAATATTTATCTATAAGTTATCAAAATAGTTTTTGAAAAGCAACAACAAATTCAAACCAAAGGTGAAAGTATTAAAAAGTCAAAGGAAACTGTGGGGAAGAAGGTACTAAAAAATAAATACCTTTACTTTCTAAATATATAACAAGATATCTTAATCACAGCTCTGAAGATGACAGGATGTGTTTAAAATTTAAAGCGGACAATGACAGGGACTGGAGCAACAGCACAGCAGATAGAGCAATTGCCTTGCACGTGGCCGACCCAGGTTCGATTCCCAGCATCCCATATGGTCCCCCGAGCAATGCCAGGAGTAATTCCTGAGTGCAGAGCCAGGAGTAACCCCTGTGTATTGCAGGGTGTGACCCAAAAAGCAATAAATAAATAAATAACGTTGACAATGACAAAGAGGAGCACAGACCCATGCTACTGTTGAAAGTGAAAGTTAAAAACATGAGAGGTAAACATATCTTATTTAGTTAAAGACAGCTTACTTAAAAGACAACCAATATAATACTCTCATATCTACCCATCATTTAATTTATAAATTCACTTTCATACTATGTATTATACAATTGATCCAGGAACAAAAATTGTTTAGAATTTCACAGGTCTACTTTTACAAAAATATTTCTTCTCTTTCTGTTTTCTATTCAAGAATTCATCAAAAGTGGCTCTGAAAAAATAAAATGTGGCTATGGAGGGGCTGGAGTGATAGTACAGCAGGTAGGGCGTTTGCCTTGCATGCGGCCGACCTGGGTTCGATTCCCAGCATCCAATCTGGTCCCCTGAGCACCGCCAGGAGTCATTCCTGAGTGCAAAGCCAGGAGTAACCACTGTGCGTCGCCAGGTGTGACCCAAAAAGCAAAAAAAAAAAAAAAAAAAAAAAAAAAAAAAAAAAGAACCCAAAAATGTGGCTATGGAAACCTACAATACAAAAGGCAGACTATGAGGAATTTAAATATCCATGAATAGTAGGAATCACAGATATAGATTATGCTGAATAGCGGATTACATATAATCTTGTATAGACTTTTTATTTTTTATATATATATTTAAATATTTTATATTTATGGTATGCATGGGAACAAAAGGGTGTGTTGGTCCTGAAACAATCTTTCTGCAGATACCAAGGGATAAATGTAGTTAAATTTAGGGAAGAATGAAAAAAATCTTAAGAAATTTTTAAGATTTTCAGAGGCTGGCACCCCCTCCCCTGCTGTTTAAGTGTCAACTGTATATGACAAGCTAGCCAGCTGAAAACAAAACAAAAAAGCATAACCTTTCCCACACAAAAGTTAAACAATACAATTTAACAAACATTTAACTAATCTGTAACGTTATTTCTTTCCTAAGTATTAATTTTATACCAGAAAATGGCAGAAATGCTAGCAACTTTTTAAAAATCTCAAGTGACAAAAAAAAAAAAAATAAGTTCTTGCATAAAAAAAAAAAACATGAACTATTTAACAATCAATTTACTTCTCTAGCTCTAAGCAAATTAAAGGAATGTGCTGATTACCTGAACCAACTAAGCATATGTCCAGCATGGCCACCATGCCTGCAATTGTGACACCATGTAAACCAGTTGTTAAATTGAGCTAATTTTTTGTCCTTGCTCAGGTCTACTTTTTCATCTGATTTGGATCCTCCTATGAGTCAAGGGAAACAATCTTCATTAGCTGAGCCACAATATTTTATTCAAAGTCTCTTAAAAGAAATATCTAAAACTATGTCAAAATATAAATCATATAATATATTGAAATAGCCACTTTAATGCTACAATTTAGCTTAGATGTAATAATCCTTATTTGGGGGCTATTCCCGGCTTGTTTTTCATGGTCAGTCGGTCTTCATAGTGTTTAGGGGTCATGCAGTCAGGAGCTGAATTTAGAACTCCACATACAATGCATGCATTCCATCAGGAACAGGTCATTTACATCTACACAAACCCTTTCAAAGAGTAACTAAGAATGATGTACTTAATGCTGCAGTTACGACTTTTCTCCTAAAACCAGACAAAGATAATATGAAAGGGAAAGTTGTAGGCAAATCTTTTTGAACAAACATAAAAATCTTAATTAAGAGTAGGAGATACTACAGCAAGTACAGTCCTTGCCTTGAACGTAGCTGATTTAGGTTCAATCCCTGGTACCACATATGGTCCCCTCTACTTCTCCCAGATAGGAATGATCCCTGACCACAGATCCAGAAGTAAGCCCTGACACAGCAGGGTGTTCCTCCAGCCAATAAGATCATAAGTAACAGAGGCAGAGAGAAACTAATAGGATTAAAGTACTTTCCCTGCACATGGCTGACTCTGATTCTAGATGGTATATGGTCCTCTGAGCACTACCAGGAGTGATCCCTGAACAAAGAGCCAGGAATAATACCTGAGCACTATTGGGGTAGCACAAAGCCAAAATTTTAAAAATATTAAGTAAAATATTGAAATAATGACCGAAAAATTCTACTTCTAGGTAGAAACTTTTATACATATGTAAAGAAAACATGTGCAGAAATGTTCATGACAGCAGTATTCCTGCACTATGTCTCTCTGGCCTATTTTTTTCTCCTAAAATAATAAATTAAATTAAAGTATCTTTGTAGGTTGGAGAGATAATACAATTTGTTCAACATTGGATGGTTCTTTGCATGCAACCAATCCTGGTTAGAACAATTTCTGTTCAGGAAAGTATACTACAGGGCTGGAGCAATTGTATAGCACCTAAAGCACTGCCCTGTACACAGCCAATCTGGGTTTCACCCCAGTACCATATCTGGTTAAGAGACCTTCCTGGAGTGATTCCTTTACACAGAGCCAGAATCAAGTCCTGAGCACCGCTGAGTGTACCCCTACCCCCCTACGGACCAGAAAAACAAAAACAAAAAAACCCAAATCCCCAAATACCACCAAAAACACACAAAGAAAAGGAAAGTATATTATAGAATTATGTCATACCAGGACAGCTAGAGACAGGTGTTCCCATATTAATGAGGCAAAGTGCACATCGAGGAAGGGGTTTTCGACAGCCAGGGCAACTTGTGACTTTAGATTTTGTTGGTGAGCCACTGACACCATACTGACTAAAACCTCTGCCCTGATGAGGCACAGTTGAACAGCTGTAGGAGATAGACTTGCCACAGAAATTGCAACTCACAAACACCTATAATACAAATGAAAGCAGAAATAAATATAATCCACATGGACTACATAATGGAATGATAAAAAAGACTGAATGTTCCTTATATCCCAATGACTCTTAAATAATTTTTCTTTCATATTTTAATAAAATTCATTTTTCCAAGTCTTTAAAAACTTTAATATTTCCTCTACATTGATTACTTCCTCTGTGCTACTTCTCTTTAGTTAGATTCTTCCTATTACCACTGATAACCACAGAAAAACTTGGAAACACTGGAGTCCCAACATTTAAAAAATAACAAGGATCTCAGAATTCCTACTGAGTTACCAAGTTTCCAAATTGGTCTGTAAATCAGAACTGATATAATCTTCCAAATTTTATTACATAGAAGACAACATATTTTCTGAAATAAAAGGAGTTAAAATGAATGGGGATACAGCTCAGTGGCAGGAGTACTTGTCTCACATGTGTGAATTCCTCAGTTCGATCCCCAACAACATACGCAAAACCAATGTGTGGCATTAAAGATCCTTACATGGTAAACAGTCAAAATAGCTATAATCCTTTCATAGTAAAGAGAACAAAAGCAAAAGAAACTGTTCATTTTACTATTTTTTCAGGGACCAAATCTGGTGGATACTCAAGGCCGACACCTGACTGTATGCTAGAGATCACTCCTGTTGGTGTTTGGGGAATCATATGGGGCGTCGCGGATCAAATTCAAGTTGAACCATCAATCTGCGTGGTATACAAACTCTCATACCCCTGTCCATTTTACTCCTGGACTCTGAAACACTCACCACATTGGTAAGTAATGAGTATCTTTAAATACTATTCTACTAATGCTTGGGTTATTTAAATATAAGTACCCAAGTTTCAACTTTCAAGTTAATAAAACGGCACCATCCGGTGCTCATATTAAGAATATACCTAATATTTAATGTTGGAAGATAGTGATCTATCATGTGTTTTATGTGATAACTAATCTTATGTGTTTTAAGCTTATGCTGAAAGAAAAAATATTCTGTGTAATTAAGACAGAAATATATACAAAGTGCTAAACAAAAGTGCTAAACAAAAACCCTACCTAATAACATATAAGGAACGCAGAAACATGTAATTTATAAATGGAATTCATAAGATTATAAGGTGTAAGTATGAAATTTATAGATTATACACAAAATTATAAGATATTATTCAAATTCTCAAGGGGCTTGAAATATAGTGAAAAAACTCAAATAGCTCTAAAATTCACTTAAGGTTGGGTGTTTAAAGCTCAAGCCAGGCTAGAGTGATAGCAGAGCGGGTAGGGCATTGGCCTTGCACGTGGCCGACCCAGGTTCAATTCCCAGCATCCCATATGGTCCCCCGAGCATTACCAGGAGTAATTCCTGAGTGCATGAGCCAGGAGTAACCCCTGTGCATCGCCGGGTATGACCCAAAATGAAAAAAATAAATTAAATAAAGCTCAAGCCATTTAGAGGATTGCTAGAAAGTAGCAAAACCAAAACACAGAAAGAGCAAGGACAAAGTGTAGTCTAGAAGGAAGTCTAGAAACTCAACATAAAAAAGAGAATGAGTGAATAAAACAATTTAAATTGAATCTTAGGTTTATCCTTATAATTTGAACATTGGTTTTTGGCTAGACTGATAAGCATGTTACAATCTTATTTTCTCAGGGCTGGAGCAATAGCACGGCAGATAGGGTGTTTGCCTTACATGCAGCCAATCCGGGTTCCATTCCTCTGTCCCTCTTGGAGAGCCCAGCAAGCTACCGAGAGTATCTCACCCATACAGCAGAGCCTCGCAAGCTCCCTGTGGTGTATTTGATATGCCAAAAACAGTAACAAGTTTCACAATGGAGACGTTGCTGGTGCCCACTCGAGCAAAACAATGAACAACGGGAGGACAGTGCTACAGTGCTATTTTCTCTAAAACAATGTACTTACCTGTGCTAATGGCTTGGAACTAGGATCCAACTTACTCCTGTGAATATCAAATTCTGCCCGTTTGTGCCAAAACCTCCAGGCATCTAATAAATTTCTGTAATTCTCAATCCAGTATTGAACCCTTTCATCTTTAAGAACATCTAAAGGAGAGCCCTAGAAAGAAAATATAATTTTTTTTTAATTTTTATTAGTGAAACACCATGAGGTACAGTTGTAGACGTACAAATTTTTGTGCTTGGGTTTCAATTATACAATGATTGAGTACCCATCCCTCCACAGTGCCCATTTCCCCACCTTCAATGCTCCCAGCATCCCTCCCACCCCCACGCCCCTCATCCCACCCCACCCCTGTGGCAGGGCATTCCCTTTTGTTCTCTCTCTCCTTTTGGGTGCTGTGGTTTGCGAAAGAGGCACTGAGTTGCAATCATGTTCGGTCTAAAGTCTATTTTCAGCAGCATCTCTCATCCTGGGAAGATCCTCCCAATGCCCTTTACTTGGTGCTCCCCTCTCTATCTGAACTGCCTTCTTCCCCAGCATATGCGGCTGGCCTCCAAGCCATGGAGTGAACCTCCTGGTACTTATCTTGGCTATTCTTAAGTTTCCTTAACCAGACACCTGTTCTCAGGCACTTGGGTTTTTTCCAAATTTTGGCTATTGTGAACAGTGCAGCAATGGACATAAAAGTGCAGATGTCACTTGGACTGTACTTTTTTGCCTCTCCGGGATATATTCCCAGTAGTGGTATTGCTGGGTCAAATGGGAGCTCAATTTCTAATATTTTGAGGAATGTCCATACTGTTTTCCAGAAGGGCTGAACCAGTCGGCATTCCCACCAGCAGTGAAGGAGAGTCCCCTTCTCACCACATCCACACAAACACCGGTTGCTTTTGTTCTTTTGGATTATTTTAATTTTAAAGTATGTTGGCTAAACAAGAGGATTCCAGGTCACATAAATATAAATCTCAGAATAACTGGGTTTCTTTTTTGCCAGAAGCTAACACCGAATGAGGATAAAGATAAAATAATTGATGAAAGCTTCATTTATTTAAGTTGGTTTCTACTAATGGTATAACTGTGCATGGTATGCAATATTATACCAAGTCAGCAAGTCTAATTCTGTTTTTTTTTATTAAAGTTTAAGGCCCAATGACCTAAAAGCCAACAATTCATCTTCCTGGTTGAATTTAGGAAAAGAGATGCTAATAGGTACCACAATTAAATTTAGCTACGAGAATATAAAGAACTCTTAAATGGCCATTTCATTTTTTTAAAAATCAGAAATGCTAAATCTCAATTCACAACAACTAGAACTAAGTAGACTATATCCCTGACTTGAAAAGAAAATTCACAAAGAAATAAGAAATCTTGATACATTAACTTTCTTTTCCATATTAGTAAAAAACACTAATATATAGTCAAATTTATATGTGGTGGGTCTTCATTAGATAAAACCTAAAATCAAGCTCTGACAAAATATACAGAAAAAAAAATTCAGAGATGAATTATAAACAAATTAGGAGTATTTAGGAAGTAATCTGCAAAAAACCAGTAACAAGATATAAAACCAAAATGAGCAGCAAATCACTAAACATCCAGACGATGTTAACGTACTATACAGAATATCCAGTATTCTATTAAAATTCAGAAGAAATGTAAAGAAAGATAAATGTGGTTCAATGTCAAGGAAATTAAACCTCATAGAAATTGACCTAGTAGTTTATAGAAACTAAAAGTAAACTAATTCATAGGCAAATTAGATATATGCTTATAAACATCTGATTCTTCCTACTGGGGATTAAACTCAAGATCTCACACATACAGACAAATCAACAGAACTTTCCAACCTGAAATACAAAAGGAAAAAAGCACAGGCACCTGTGAAACAATATCAAATGGTTTAATATATATATATGAACTAAAGAGGCCAAGAAGAAAATAGAATTGAGGCAGACAAAAAAATTTAATGTCTCCAAAATATGTCAAACTTACCCACAAATTAAGCTGCTATTGCCACAAAAACACAAGGATAAACTGCTGAAAAGAAAAGAAAATCTTGAAAACGGCCATAGGGCAGTGAGGGGGGAATGGAACAATACACAGAGGAAATCAGGTTAGAATAACTGACTTCTTTTGAAAAAAGATGGAGCTAAATGACTATGAAACAAGTATCTTTAAAGAACTGAAAGAAAAGCAAGATGAATATAAGTATTTTCAGTGAAAACTGAGCTGAGAAGCCAGACAAATAGTAAAGAAGCTAAAGCACTTTTTCTTCTATGCTGCTATATTGACCACTGTCTTCCCAGCACCATATAGGTTGCCTGAGGACCACGGCAGGGAGAAGGGGGTCACTACTGTACACCAAGCCAGAAATAGACCCCAAGCACCAATTGGGAGGGAGGGAGGGAGGGAGGGAGGGAGGGAGGAAGGAAGGAAGGAAGGAAGGAAGGAAGGAAGGAAGGAAGGAAGGAAGGAAGGAAGGAAGGAGAAAATAAAGCCTATACGATATGCCACCACCAGTTAATCTCTATCAGTGGAAATATTAGACAAAAGCCAAAGGAAGGCTTGCACGTCAAGCTCATGTTCTCTCTTGAATACGTATCTCACTTGCTTGTCTCTGTTTCTTAGCTGGCTTATTTCCACTCTGGAGAAGCCTGTGTTTTCTTTCTTTCTTTCCCCTCATATCTTTCTTAATAAGTTTCAATAAAAACAAGGGACAGAGTGAAAGGATGGATTAGAAAAATGAACTCAATACTCAGATGCCTGCAAAACACACATCTGAACAATCAAAGCAAACACAGACTTAAAGTTAAAGGCTCAAAAACAATTCTCCAAGTAAACAACTCCCTCAAAAAAGCTGGGGTGGCCATACTAGTATCGGACCACACAGACTTTAGGCTGAAGAAGGTTATAAGAGAGAGTGAAGATCACTTTTAAATGGTTAAAGGATCTGTACAAAAGGAAGAATTTACACTCTCTTAATGTATAGACATCTAATAAGGGACCAGCAAAATACTTAAAGCAACTGCTAATAAACTTGAAGAAAGACCTTGATAGCAACATAATAGTAATTGGAGATTTCAACACTGCTTTGTCACCTCTACATAGATCAACCAGACTAAAGCTCATCAAGGAGATACTTTATTTGAGAGAAGAAATGGATAGAGGGAGTTAGCAGATACATATAGGACTTTTCATCCCTAAAAAGCTGAAAGTTTCAAAAAAAAATAAAAAGCTGATAGTTTCTTCTTCTCCAGTGCACATGGGACATTCTCTTAAATAAACCATACGCTGGGCCACAAAACATACTTCCATAAAATTAAGAGAACAGGAATTGTTCCAACTATCTTTTCAGATCATAGCACTGTAGCACTGTCTTCCCGTTGTTCATAGATTTCCTCGAGCAGGCCTGGTAACGTCTCCATTGTGAGACTTGTTGCTGTGTTTGGCATATGAAATACATCATGGTAGCTTGCCGTGCAGGCGAGATACTCTTGGTAGCTTGCCAGGCTCTCTTAGAGGGGCAGAGGAAATGAACCTGGATTTGCTGCATGCAAGGCAAATGCCCTACCAGCTGTTCTATGGTTCCAGCCCTTTCAGACCATAATGCACCAAAAACAGAAGTGAATCACACACAGAAACAGTGAATCAAATCAAGCACCTGGAAATTTAACACCTTGCTACTAAACAAGCAGTGGGTTCGAGAGGAAATTAAAGAGGAAATCAAAAGATTCCCGGAAACAAAAGAGAATGAGGACATGAGCTACCAGAACTGTAGGACACAGCAAAAGCAGTGTTAAAAGCAAAGTTTATAGGTCTATAAGCATTCATTAGGAAGAAAAAAAAAGGGCCCACATAAGTTAACTTAACCTCATAGCTTAAGATCTTGGAAAAAGACCAACAAAAGGAGCCCAAACCAGGGAGGAAATAATAAAACTTAGAGCAGAAATAAACGAGCTGTAATCCCCAAAAAAAATCCCCTACCCCCCCAAAAAAAGTCAATGAAACCAAGAACCGGTTCTTTGAGAAAATAAACAAAACTGATAAACCACTAACAAGACTAATAAAGAAACAGAGAGAAAGAACCCTAATAAAGCAAATCAGATATTGCAAAGGAGGGCATCACAAGAGAACTACAGAAATTCTTAGAATCAGAGATTACACTGAGTACACAGAGAATCTTTATGCCATGAAACAAGAGAACTTTGAAGAAATGGATAAATTCCTAGATTTCTATAACCTCCCAAGGCTGAACCAAGAAGATTTGGAATATCTGAACAGACCTATTACCATTGAGTAAATTGAAACGGTAATCAAAACTCTTCCCAAAATCAAAAACCCTGACCCAGATAGATTCACTACTGAATTCTTCCAAACCTTTAAAGAGGACCTACTGACAATCCCTTTCAAGCTTTTCCAGGAAAATGAAGATGCAGAAACACTTCCAACAATTTCTATGAAGCAGATTTCACCCTGACCAAAAGCTGACAGACACACCACATAAAAAGAAAATAGCCAGTATCCCTGATGAACACAGATGCAAAGATCCTAAACAAAATACTAGCAAACAGAATCCAATGACTCCTCAAAATGATCATACTCCAAGATCAAGTAGGATTCATCTCGGAGATGCAGGGACAATTTCATTTCTGTAGTCAATCAACATAATACAACGTAACAGTTTTAAAAAAACATATGATCATATCAATAGATGCAGAGAAAGTACTTGACAAGATCCAGCACCCATTTATAATAAAACTCTCAACATGTGGAGTTTATGCCCATTTCAATCAGCTTAATCAATGGCAGAATAAATAGCATATTCCTACATTGCTAAAAAAAAAAACTCTAAACAAAATGGAAGTTGAAGGACTTTCCTCAATACAAAGCCATCTACTAGAAGCCCACAGAAAGCATAATCCTCAATGGAGAAAAACTAAACGCTTTCCCCCTAAGACCAGGCACAAGACAAGGTTGTCCACTCTCTCCATTCCTATTCAACATAGTAATGAAAGTTTGTGCCATAGCATTTAGGCAAGAAAAAGATATCAAGGTATCAGATAGAAAAGGAAAAAAGTCAAGCTTTCACTATTTGCTACACTTAAAAAAAATATATATATATATTATACTATACTTAGAAAAATATACTTTATACTACACTTAGGAAATCCTAAATATTTTCAAAAATTTTCCTGGAAACAATATATTTGTTTAGTAAAGTATCAGGTTACAAAATCAATACCCAAAAGACCATGGCTTTCCTATATACAAATAAAGAGAAAAAAGAGATGTTAGGAAAAACATCCCGATCACAATTATGCCTCAGAAAATCAAGTAGTACCTCAGAATTTGCTTAACTAAAGAGGTAAAGAATCTGTACCAAAAAAAATTTCAAAATGCTAATTCAAGAAATAAAAAAGGACATGAGAAAATATGTTCATGGACAAAAGGTATTAAAATTGTCAAAATGGCAATACTCCCTAAAGCACTATATATATTCAATGCTGTCCCTACAGTATATCCATAACATTTTTCAAACAGATCTAACAGTCTTAAAATTCATATGGAAAAATAAACCCCACAAGTAGCTAAAGCAATCCTTGGAGGAAAAGACAGGAGGCATCACCTTCCCCAATTTCAAACTCTACTACAAAGCAGTAGTAATCAAAACAGCATGGTCTTAGAATAAAGACAGACCTGCCAATGGAATAGAGCTGAACATCCAGATACCGATTCTCAGCTATATGATCACCTAGTCTTTGCTAAAGGAGCAAGAGATGTGAAGTGGAGCAAGAAAAGCCTCTTCAACGAGTGGTGCTGTGAAAACTGGGCAGCTACATGCTAAAAAATAAACTTAGATCTCTTTGACCAGGCACAAAAGTCAGATCAAAATGGATTAAAGATCTCAGTAACAAACCTGATACATGGAAATAAATGTGGGCAGTCCATGATACTGAAGCTGAAGTAATCTTCAAGGATAAAACACTGCTGACCAAACAAGTGGATGCAAAGATAAACAAATGGGACTATATTAAACTAAGAAGGTTCTGTACCTTAAAAGAAATAACAAACACTGGACTCCTGTTGTTCATCGATTTGCTCGAGTGGGCCCAGTAACATCTCCATTGTGAGACTTGTTGTTACTTTTTTTAGCATACTGAATACGTCATGGGTAGCTTGCCAGGCTTTGCCATGGGGGCGAGATACTCTCGGTAGCTTGCCGGGCTCTCCAGGAGGGGCAGAGTAATCCAATTCAGCTCGGCCAGGTTGACTGCATCCGAGGCAAACTCCCTACCGCTGTGCTATCACTCCAGAAGACCAAGATAAAAAGACAGCCCACGGATTGGGAAAATTTATTTATGCAGTACAAATCTGATAAAGAGTTAATATACAAGGCACTGGTAAAACTTTACAAGAAAAAAAAAATCCAACCCCATCAAAAAATGGGGAGAAGAAATTAACAGACACTTCCTCAAAAAAGAAATACAAATGGCCAAAAGACACATGAAAAAATGCTCTATATCACTAATCAGGGAGATGCAAATCGAAACAATCATGAGATCCCATCTCACACAACAGAGACGGGCACACATCAAAAGAACAAGAGCAACAAATGCTGATGTGGATGCAGGGAGAAAGGGACTCTTTTTCATTGTTGGTGGGAATGCCGACTGGTCCAGTCTTTTTGGAAAACAATATGGACATTCCTTGAAAAGCTAGAAATTGAGATTCCGTGTGACCCAGCCATACCACTTCTGGGAATATACCCCAGGAGCCCAAAAACACACAGCAGAAATGCCATCTGCACTTCTATAAGCTGAGAATAGATGACTGGTCAAAGAAACTATGGTATACAACTATGCTATGAAATATGCAGCTCCAAGGGAAAATGAAACTATGAAATTCTCTTATAAATGAATGTACATGGAGAGTATCATGCTGAGTAAAAAGTAAATCAGAGGAAGAGGACTAGACATAGAATAATTGAACTCTTTGATGAGATTAAAAACAAACAAACACAATATAAGACTAACACCCAAGGACAGTAGAAACAAGGGCCAGGAGGATTAGTCCACGGTTGAAAACCTGCCTCAAGTGCCTGGAGAGAAGGCAGCTGGGACAGAGAGGAGACCACTATGATATAGATAGCTGGAAATAATCATTCTGAGTAAGAGGTATGTACTGAAAATAGGTAAAGAAACAAACAGGATAACCTCTCAGTATCTTCCATAATGACCATTAAGGAAGAAAGGAAGAAAGGAAGGTAAGGAGGTAAGGAGGGAGGGAGGGAAGTAGGGAGGGAGGGATAAAGGAAAGGAAGGAGGAAGGGAGGACAAAGGGAAGAGGGGGAGAGAGAGAGACAGACAAACAGACAGACAGAAGAAAAGTATCTGCTATAGAACGATGGTGGGAGGGAAACTGGGGACACTGGTGGTGGAAAATGTACACTAGTGGAGGGATGGGTGTCAGAATACTGTATAAATGAAACCCGACCATAAATAACTTTGCTATATCTCATGGTGACACAATAAAAAATATAAATAAAATAAAATTAGAACAAATCATTTTTGAAAATATAATGAAAACTCATATTGCTAAAAAGTAAAAAGTAGTTTGGGAAGATATGTCAAAGGATCAGACCACATGCTCTGTATGTTAAAGTCCCAGGTTAGATAGAGCATCAGCACCGCATACTACTCAAAGTACAACCAGGAGTGGTAATCCCTGAGCACTGAGTCAGGAGTAGCCCCCAAGCAAGCTCGGTATGATCCAAAAAAAATAAAAATAAAATCACTAAAGAGAGCCAACCAACAAAATAAAGTGAAATGCTGAACTATTTACTCGCGCTCTAGAGAACATAGGGAAAGAGTGAAAAACATAGTATAGGGGTTAAACCAGCCAACCCGTGCTCAATCCCCAGCCCACATATGGTCCCATGAGTAATGCCAGGAGTAAGCTCTAGTATCACTGGGTGTGCAGTCCTCACACCCTCCTTGCAACAAATAAAAACAAAACCCAAATGGAAATTTAATTGATCAAATAAATATGAAGTGATAGCACAGTGGCAAGGCACTTGCCTTGCACACAGCCGACCCAGGCCAACCCTGGTTGGACTCCTCCGCCCTTCTCGGAGCCCGGCAAGCTACCGAGAGTATCTCACCCACACGGCAAAGCCTGGCAAGCTAACCATGATGTATTCAATATGCCAAAAACAGTAACAAATCTCACAATGGAGACGTTACTGGTGTCTGCTTGAGAAAATCAATGAACAATGGGAGAATAATGCTATAAATTAAAAGCACCTGATTACCAGACTAAAGTTTCTTTCAAAAGAAAGCCAGAAAGCTTACACAATTCAAGTGCATAACTAGTTATGATAATAAAGGTGTTCAGAACAGGTCTCCCCGAAATAAACTATCTCAGCATGCAACACTGGTATAGTTCTATAGGAGTTCTGCAATTATAAAACAATGTCCTTAGTACTATTGTAAACTATGATACCTCAATAAAAAGGAAAATAAATTTTTAAAAATTTGAGAAATTGTTGATGTTTCTCCACTTTATTTGAAATATACATAAATTCAAAAATGACATTTCCCTAAGTAAAGGGGAAAAACTGGATAACCAAATGGAAAAAGGTTAGAGTAGAAGTTCTCTCTATAGATTAAGTGAATGGGTGAAAGCAAAATGCCTTTAGGGCATATTCATTAAATAAGGGGAAAATGCAGTGATGCAATTATTAATTAATTATTAATTAACTATTAAGCACCATCCCCCCTACTAACTGTTGCCACACTATACTCACCTGTAACATGCAATAACTCGCTGTTTGAACATCTCCGGTTCTATCAACGTAACTCTCCATTAAGTCCACTCCATCCTTAGTAAGGCCTGTAAGCAGTATTCCTTCTAAATTTCCAGCCTCTTTCATCTCATTGGTCAACTTTTCAATGTATCTATTTAACTGGAAAATTCAAGTAATTTTATTAAGTAATCAGTTTTACAACATATTCTGTACTTCAAAATTTCTACATTTGAAACTATATTATTCCTAAGAAAAACATTTAGAACAAAATGGTTGCAAATTTTCATTTTAAAGAGAACTAGACCCATTTTGCAAAATTTCTGCTATTATAGAATGATATAATATAGATACAGAATCTGAGTTGAAGAGAAATTCAAAGTTATCAAAAATATCTTGTAAAGTCTTCCTGACTTCATCTTACCCAACTCTGGTTAAAGTTCTTTTAATTTCCCCTAGCACTGTCTTATTATTATAATACCTTGGCACTTTTATTACTAATTATTTGTGTGCATTTCTCACTATAAAAATAGCACATGCGTAACTATACATGCATATGCATAACGATATCTGCATTTCTCACTATATACACAGTATATGCATAACCAGAAATTAAGGAAATTCTTTTATATACTGCCTAAGAGGTATGTTTAACATCTCCATCTGCTGACCAGTCTCACTCTCATAGATAAAAATAAACTAAAATACTAACTAAACATTTTACTTTTACTATTGCTTTTTATTTTTACTAATTAAAACATTTTTACAAAATTTTTGGACTAAGCATTGGCTTATATGACTATAATATTTTGAAGTATATGTAAAATTTTGAATTTCACACTTTATTAACCTCTCCATTTACTCTTCCTATGCCCTCTTTCACTTCTTCCCTGTTTGACACAATATTTTCTACAGTATTTTTGTTGTATTTTGCTAGTTCTTTCACACAGTTACTATTTATACTCAACGTATGAAAAAAAACATCTGGCAAATGACTCCCTTAACTTAGGATGTCACTTCAAGTTCCATCCATATCACTTAATCACTTAACTTCCCGTTAGTCGTCGATTTGCTCGAGTGGTCGCCAGTAACGTCTCCATTTGTCCCTGTCGCGTGCTAGTGTAGCCCAATGGCATCTGTTCGCTCCGGGAATATGAAGAGCCTCAAACCGATCGTTCATGATCTTGACGAAGAAGTCTGACCATCTGGTAGGTGGGCGGCCACGCGGTCCCTTGACATCCCGTGGAATCCAATCAGTAACAGCTCTAGTCCAATGGTCGTCTTTAAATCTCATTACGTGACCAGCCCATCTGATTTTCGACACCTTGGCAAATGACACAGCGTCCCTTGATCCTTGATCGTCGACAGATGTCAGAACTCCGGATTCGTTCTCTCATTTGAGTGAAACGTGATATTTCAAGCATGGCTTTCTATTATTCTTTGGAAGACCTGAATGGCGTTCTCATCCTGTTTGCGTAGGGCCCAGGTCTCTGAGGCATATGTTAATGCAGGAAGAACAGTGGAATCAAAGAGATGTGCCCGGAGCCGGAGGTTCTTCGTCCTCTTAGCTATTTCTTCGACGTTCTTGAAGGCGTTCCAAGCCGCTCTCTTCCTCCTGCGCAGCTCGGGTGCCAGGTCATTTGTCATGTTGACCTCTCGACCTAGGTACACATAGCTGTTGCATTCGGAGATGGTCGTTCCATTGAGAGCAAATGGGGTGTCAGGAACGAGGCTGTTTCTCATAAACATTGTCTTCTTAAGATTCAGCTGTAGTCCTACCTTTCCACACTCACGGTCAAAGTCGGCCAGCATTTGTGCCGCTTGGCTGATGTTTGGTGTTATTAAAACAATGTCATCAGCAAAGCGGAGGTGGTGTAGTTGCCGACCATCTATCTTCACTCCCATTCCTTCCCATTCCAGTCGTCGCATGATGTTCTCGAAGGTGGCACTGAAGAGTTTCGGTGAAATGGTATCACCCTGCCGAACCCCTCTCTTGACATCAATGATTACTTCTTTGTAGAATGGTGAGATCCTGGTAGTGAATCCGCAGTACAGCTCACGGAGGATCCTGATGTATTGGGCTTGAATGCCCTGATTGGCTAGGGCTTCAATGACTGCTTCCATCTCAACAGAATCAAAGGCCTTCTTTAAATCAATGAACGTTAAGCAGAGCGGCATCTTGAACTCCCGAGAAAACTCAATGAGCTTGGTTATCGTGTGGATATGGTCGATGGTGCTGAATCCTTTGTGGAACCCTGCTTGCTCGCATGGTTGTCCTTCGTCTAGTGTTCTGCCAATCCTATTCAGGATGACTCGAGTGAACAACTTGTAGATGACAGACAATAGGCAGATCAGGCGATAGTTGCCAATGTCATGGATGTCTCCCTTCTTGAACAGTAGTACGGTCCTGCTGGTATTCCATTGGGACGGAACCTTGCATTCAGACAGGTAGCGAGTGAAGAGCTGAGCCAGTGTATTGATGAGTACTGACTGCAGGTTCTTCAGGTGTTCAGGTCTGACCTTGTCTGGGCCGGGTGCTGTTTGTTTCTTTATCGACGAAATGGCGTGTCGGATTTCGGAAGGGAGAACGTTGGGAACGACATATCCATCCTGTGGAATTTGGTATGTCGGCAAGTGGACATGGCTATCGAAGAGATTTGAGTAGAAGTCATGGATAATCTTCTCCATTGCCGTTCTGGAGGATGTGATGGATCCATCAGGACGTCGGAGGGCAGTCATCTTGGTCTTATAGTTGGCGAAGGACAGGCGGGCCTTACGAATACTTTTCCCGGCTTCTGCCGCATCTACCAGTACTTCTGCTCTTCTCTCTTTGAGGTCTTCCTTGATCGCATCTCTGCACTGCTTTGCAAGCTCGGACGTTAGCTTGCGGTTGCCTGAGGCATGCGCCAAACCACCCTGGCGAATTAGCTCAAGAGTTTTTGAAGATAGGCGACTTTTTGTGGCTATCTCTCTCTTGGCGTTCCTCGCACATTCATGGAGGTGCTGAACCAGTCGATCGTATTCCTCGTCAATGTTGTCAACAATGGCATCTTCCCATGTTGCCGCAATAGTACCAAAGAGTTCCCAGTTGGTGGTCATTCTGGGAGTTCTCTTTTTGAACTTTGCATCCCTTTCTCCCCGCTCTGTGAAGTAGAATTTTGCACGAAGGAGACGGTGGTCCGATCCCGTTAGAAATTTTGGGACAACAGCGACATCAGTCAGGCAAAACCGTCGATTGAATATTATGTGGTCTATTTTGTTGTGGAATCGTCCACCAGGAGACTCCCATGTCCATCGTTTAGATTCTGCCTTCTGGAACTGTGAGTTACCATGAATTGTCTTGGTCGACATGATGAACTCAGACAGTCTCTCACCCTGTTCGTTCCATTCTAGGCCATGGGTCCCGATGTGAAGTTCTTCAGCTGATCTTCTCGGTCCTATCTTGGCATTAAGATCATCCACAATGATCTTGTAGAAGGTGTGGTCTTCTTTATAGAACTTCTCTAGCTCCATGTAGAACTTCTCAATTTCTCTTTCATCATAATGAGATGTTGGTGCGTAGACAACGAAGATAGAAACTGCAGGCAGTGAGCCACATCTATTCAAATGTAAACGTCCGATTCGGGTTGTTAGGCATTCGAATGAATCAATGCTCTTGGCCAAGTTTGTGTTGACAAGGACACCAACGCCTCCAACACCTCTTTTATCGCATGTTCCGAGGAACAATTCTTCTCCAGTGTCGAAAACGGCATGGTGAGATTCGTGCCTTCTTGTCTCGATCAGACCAATGATGTCGTACTTGATCATTCGCGCTTGTACCATCAGGTCCTCGATGGATGCATCTGATGCTAGCGTACGTGCATTGAAAGTACAGACGATCATTTTTGTTCCATCCATAATGTCATTATAAAGCATGTAAAACTAGTATTCTTAAAGAAACACATACCTAATTATGATAATAAAGGTGTTCAGAACAAATCTCTATAAAATATGTATCATGTATTTTAGTTTGAACTGAGCACAACAAAGGCCTTGCAAACTCACAAGAAACTTTCATCATTCCCTTAACTATATAGGAGAATGAAAATCGGCATCTTATGCAGAATTAGGGCTAATATTATGAACAGTCTTTCTGTCAAAAAAAATTTACTTACATAGCAGAGCAAACACTCAGAACATCTATTCTTTGTCATGTTTATCATTCTCCCTATCTAATGTGAATAAGCCTGTCTCCTTGAAACTCAGGTTCCTATCCCATTCCTTAGCTTCATTTTTGCCTGTTCTTCCTTGGAGCCACTGGGTGTATGTGAGCTCCCCAAGTATAAACTTTTATTTTATGCTTACACATCTGATAATAACTGATGACTTTGTGAAGACACAAGAGATTTAGGAGAAAAATTTCATCTCCCATACCATGCAGAACAACAAATGAACTCAAGGCACAGATTGACAACTAACTCGTGGGGCTAGTGGGATGTGAACGTTTGACATGTAGGTGCTCATAGCCAGCTTTATCAGTCCTGATCCAAACAAGCCAGGGATTTCCCTGAGCACTGGTGGCTGAGGTGGGTTGAACAGAGAAGTGGAAGTACCTTCCTTGCTCTCCAGTTTACAGAGCAACTAGCTAAAGAACTGAAGTATTGTCAGTGAAACACACCCTGGATGTGATCATAGAAGATTAAAAAATACTAAAGAAAAGACTTTAGCACCTCTATGTTCATTGCAGCATTATTTAGAATAGTCAAAAAATTCGGTCACAATTCAAGTGTCCAAGAACAGATGACTGAATGAAGAAATTTTGAAACATACTGACAATGGAATACTCAGTGGCTGTAATATCATGCAATTTGTTGCTATATGGATGGATCTGGATAATACCGTGCTGAGCTCATCAGAAGAGGGACAAAAACATAGAAGAGAGACACACATGTATGAGAGATAAAAAAAACAAAGAAAAGAATATAACAAATATCCAAAAGCAATATAAATTGAGAAATAGTCTTCAGTAGTAAGCTTACCACAGGGAAGAGAAGAGGGGACTAGGATGGGGGAGGAAACACTGAGACAAGAAAAAAAATAGTATTGCTTTACGTTTTTAGAAGAACTTATAAATCCCACATATACTTCTTAATTCAGAAACATGAAACATTAATCACTTTAAATAATTTAATTAGTTCTTACCTGACTATCACTAAGAAATTTACAAGCAAATGCCACTCTATCACGTACTGCAACTTTGTTTTCATACTGAAAAAGAGTTAAAAACAAGGTGTTACTTGTAGATGCTATGACTGTAATTTTCTGCAGGTTGAATTTTAAATATCTAATATGAAATCTTATTGTTAAATGAATTTGTAAGTTGTGTATATAATGACAAAGTCATTGTCTATCTTTTGTTTAGGGAGGCATCTCCCAAAATTATTTCAGATTTTTTAAATTCCAGTTATTTCTCTCCATCAATAAATAAAATATGACCAAATTACTTCTATTCCTCACCATTCTCTACCACTTTCTAAAAGTTTATTTTTTCAAGATGCAACATTTAAAATCTTTAGCTTAACCCAACATCCCCTCAAAAGAATAACAACAAGGGGGTTATAGTGCCGCCAGCAGGTCAATCTGTACCTGTGAGGCCAGTGCATCAGCAACCTGATGGTACTTCAAACTTCCAGATACCGCAAAATTGCCGCTGTGCCTTTGGCCAGACCCCAAAAACTTGGGTCAAAGATTTGCCAAGAAAGTAAACAGCCAAAAGTTAGGTATGTAGGAGACACACCCACAAACCATCTCCAGCTCAGCTATATAATTGGAGGAATGGCCTCTCTGGCTCCTGATCGAATGGCCATGATCCCAGAGACTCAGAAACAAATCTCGAAACCCAATGGCTTTTGACAGAAATGCGTCCGGTCCCTACAGTAGGCTATAGGCGTCGGGCCACCCCAGGTGGGAATAGGTTTCATGCATTGGCCTGTTCCCCCTGGTGTCCCAGTGGCCGTCATCCTCCAGAGGCCACTGGCCAGTCAGGTTTGGGCCCACAGTGATGAGACACATGAGGCCTCACGGGATGGGGGTTGAGCCAACCCTTTCCTCCCCACCCCAACGAGATCCCAAGTCCCCACCCACGAATGGCCTCTGATTCCTGACCAAGCTGCTTAATGGCCATGATCCCACAGACTGAGAAACGAATCTCGGAACCCAACGGCTTTTGGCAGAAATGCATCCGGACCCCACAGTAGGTTACTGTCACCGAGACACCTCAGGGGGGAAAGGATGCTGTCCCTCCACCTGCTCCCTCTTGGCAGCTCGGTGGCCGCCATTCACCAGAAGCCATTGGACAGTCAGGTTTGGGCCCACAGTGACGAGATACGTGGGGCCTCACAGGATGTGGATGGAGCCGGCCCTTTCCTCCCCACCCCAAGGAGACCCCAAGTTGTGGCCCACAAAAGGCCTCTCTGGCTCCCGATCAAGCTGCTTAACAGCCATGATCCCAGAGACTCAGAAACGAATCTCAAAACCCAGCGGCTTTTGGCAGAAATGTGTCTGATCCCTGCAGTAGATTACAAGCATTGGGCCAACCCAGGTGGGAATAGGCTTCGTGCTTTGCCTGTTCCCCCTGGCGGCCTGGTGGCTGTCATCCTCCAGAGGCCACTGGACAATCAGGTTTGGGCACACAGTGATGAGACACATGAGGTCTGACGGGATGGGGGTAGAGCTGGCCCTTTCCTCCCAACCCCAACGAGACCCCGAGTTGTTGCCCACAAATGGCCTCTCTGGCTCCTGATCAGGCTGCTTAACCGCCATGATCCCAGAGACTCAGAAACAAATCTCGGAACCCAGTGGCTTTTGGCAGAAATGTATCCGGACCCCGCAGTAGGTTACTGTTGCTGGGCCACCACAGTGGGGAAAGGGTATTGTCCCTCCGCCTGCTCCCCCTAGTTGGCTCGGTGGCTGCCATCCTCCAAAGGCCACTGGGCATCAGGGTCAGGCCCTCAGAGACAAAACACATGGGGCCTCACGGGATGGGGGTGGAGCCAGCCCTTTCCGCCCTGTCCCAACGAGACCCCGAGTCACTGCCCACAAATGACTTTTCTGGCTCCTGATCAAGCTGCTTAATGATCCCAGAGACTCAGGAACAAATCTCAAAACCCAGCAGGTTTTGGCAGAAATACCTCCAGATTTAAGTGTTGAAATTTCAAACTTTCAGAATCACATCGCCACTACTGCAGTCACGTGACATCATATATTATTCATAACCAGTAATAGAAAACAAATAGTCTACCGTTGCCTTTTCAGTAGATCCGTGTGTTGGGGTAAAATCCCAAATAATATGGTGGATCTGGTGTCAAAATATTGAATGTAATCAAAGTAGAGAGAGAGTAATGTGGAAATCATTTGCCCCACAGGTTGGGGGAGGGTGTGGGAGTTTGTATACTGGGGTTTTTGGTGGTAGAGAATAGGCATGGGTGAAGGTACGGGTGCTTCATTGTATGACCAAGACTTAAACCCAAAAGCTTTGTAACTGCTCTCACGGTGATTAAATAAAATTATAAAAATGGGGGAAAAAAAGAATAACAATAGTAAAAACACCATAAAGTATAGTATAATCTTGGGTATTAATTTAAAGTGCTTAGAAAAGGCAAAATATATAAACTAATTGACTGCCAAAATACATACTAACATTTATAAGAATGTTCATAATTATCAACATATTTTTTAAAATTGACATTTAAAATATTAAAGTGACAGTACACCAGAGAGATGCCTCCAGACCCCAAGCCAAGCTTTCTCATGAAGGGCAATCTGAAGGGGGGTATGTGAGTTCCCCTTCCAGCCCCAATAGAGCCCCAGCAACCAAAAACCTCCAGAACTCAATTGCTGCTATGCTAAAGGCCAATCTCCACAGGCTTGGAAGAGCCTCATCCATAAGTGAATCTGCTGAAATTTGTGACTGAAATCTCCAGACTTGCATGGAGTCAGGAATGAGCAACCTCCCCCACCTCCCCCCACCTCTCTATGCTTCCTGTAGTCTGACAGTTACGCTTAGGATTGTCCCTGGCACCATATAAGCTCCTTAATGGCCATGATCCAGAGACTCACAAATAAATCTCTTGGAAGGGAGGAATATGAGAGGAACATGCAACAGAGATGCATCTAGATCCCAAAGTCACCATCCAGTTAAAACAAAAAAATTTAATTAACCTCAAATGTATCACCATTTTTAAAATTTTTGCAACATCTCATACTCTACACCACTGACGTACCAAGAGTAGCACACCATATTTGATGGGATGTAAAGTAGAAGGCAACCAATCTCTGGGAGGGGAAAATATTTATATATATTATATATATATATATATATATATAAAAGCACACATGGCTTAGCTTTTAACAACACGTTAGTACTCTCTTATACAAGGGCTGACTGGCTCCAGGATCAAACACAACAATCTTCACACAATTTCCTCTAAGGAAAATTTTCTTGATTATTTTTATGGATTATTTATAACAAGCAATACAAACTAAATTATTTAGGTCCTGTTTTGGAAGCACGGTTTAGGGGTTGGGGTGGAAACATTCGAAATATGGTGGTGAGTAGGTGTAATAGTGATGGGATTGGTGTTGGAATATTAAATGTAACATTACTGTGAACAACTTTATAAAAATAAAATTTAAAAAATTATTAAAGAAGTGCTGGACTGGAGATATAGCACAATGGGTAGGGCGTTTGCCTTGCACACAGCTGATCCGGGTTTGATTCCTCCATCCCTCTTGGAAGACCAGCAAGCTACAGAAGAGTATCCTGCCCACAAAGCAGAGCCTGGCAAGTTCCCCATGGCATATTCTAAATGCCAAAAAACAATAACAACAAGTCTCACAATGGAGACGTTACTGGTGTCCGTTCAAGCAAATTGATGAACAAGGGGAGGACAGTGCTACGGTGCTATTAAAGAAGTGCTATAATAGCAAACACGAAAGTAAGTTTTATGCTAGAAAGTTCTCAGTCTAAAAAGAAGCCCCCCAAATACAAAGAAAGTATGGTACTAACATGAAGCTGAAAATACTTTATACTACACATCTATCAATTCATTTTTGCCTTAATGATTCATAAAAGTATTTGACAATGTGATAAAAGTGGTCAAACCCACAGAGAAAACATACCAATGAAAAGAATAATGTAAAATGAAGTAGTTTGCTCTAAGTTATAAAATCACAAAATTTAACTTTCTTACTGGAGAACAGTATTAATTTAAACAAAATATACAGTCACTGTAACAATATCTGATCCTGTTTTAGTTTACTTAAATAAACACATATAGACACACATACTTTACACACACTTCCCTCCTCTCCCCTCCCCTCTGGGTTCTCTTCTCTTTGCTAGGATGATGGTGGGGGATGTTGAACTTGACTTCATACCTGCGAGGTGGGCACTTTTGTTGCTGAGCTTTTTTATTTCAATATAGAATTTGTTCATAATAGCTGGATAGTTCAGTTCTCAAAATGATAAAATCCTACCCCTTCCAAATATGTAAACTGTAATAACAAAACCTTTTTAAAAAGCAGATTCAGTAAGTGAATCAGTGGAGATTTGCTTAAAGCTAATGTTTAAGATACTATAAATAAAATTCATCAAAATATAGCAATATTTATGTAAGACATTTATTTTTTTAAGCATTAGATTTAAAAAAAAAAACCTCCTGTTGTTAAAGTAGAAATTGGAGAATCTCCAATTTAGAAAAAAGTAGTCCTCATGAAACAGAAATTGGCTTACCAAAACTCCATCATAAGATCCTGCTTCACTTGTCAGAAATGCGAACATGACACAGAGATATGGGTTGTTTAACTGTAATCGTAGAGTGCTGCACATTTCCCTCCAAAGGGAATTCTTCTCATCTGTATAACCTGACAAAGCCATCGCTACCACATTGAGATTCAGATCACCTGCATATGAAAACTAGTTAATCAAAGTGGTCAAAAGATTCTATTTCCCATCTATAGTTCTTAAATCACAAACAAATAAAAATTAGAAGGGTGATTTTCACACCCTGAAAAATAAGCCTGCAAGAACAGTTCTGATCCAGATTAGAAACTTCAGCAAAACTAACAAGTAAAAAATTTCATTCTTATGACTTTTGCTCATATTATAAACCCTGTATAAGACTAATACATCTTTTAATTTTCAAGCTCATATTCCAGGCAGGTCAGTAGGTGAAACACTTCCCATCAACATTATTCCCAATTCTATAACAAATAAGTTCATTTGTTCGAGATATTTCAAAACACTAATAGTAAACACTATTCTCGGACTATAATTCTTAAAATGATTGCTCTCCTATTCATATATACACAATTATATTCATATATTGTGTATATTCATATACACACAATCATAAATATACAATTATATATACACACATTTTATATATCATATATATTCCATATATACATTATATATTTATATATATATTTCATACTTAGGTATGATTTATGAGTCTTTTTTGTGGGGGGGGGGGAGTTGTTTGTTTTGGTTTTCAGGTCACAATCAGCTTACTCAGGGTTCACTGCTGGCTCTGAGCTTGGGGATCACTCCACGGTCCAGTGGACCACATGGGACTTGAGACACCACAGCAAGAGCCTTACCCTGTACTATTTCTCTGACCCATTATGAGCATATTTTAAGTACAAGTTTTAAAAGTTTCTATTTCAACATTCTCAATGAAGTAATTTATAAGTAACATATAATTCTATCAAAATTACCAAAAATCTAGCAACACTTAAAAAAAAGCATGTTATCAATCTCTTTTAAGCATAGCTGACTTGCTAACCCACTCAACTCGGTAGCTACCTGACTTTCAAAATAAATACAGGTTCCAAAAAAATTAAGTTCAGACTTAATACTTTTAAAGAAACTTATCTAAAACCGGGACCATATCCAACAGAGTGTGGCCAGCAATGCAGGTCTGATGGTCCTTAGGTTGGAGATGTGGCTCTTCTCTGACCCAAGTGGTGCATGGGGGCAACGAGGCAGGCCAACACCAAGTGGTGTATGCGCGCATGTATTTACACACTGAGTGATGCATGTGTGTGAATTTACTTTTTCTGAAATAAATATTACCTACATTTATTTTAGGAGGTTTATTGTTTTTTTCACAATGATAAGTTTTTACTTTCCAAATAAAATAGCATTTTCCATTTTCTGTTCTAAAGAGACTTGTCTGTTTTGAGCACTTTCAAGTTACTTTGTGCTTGCTTCTTCTGCCTACTATATTAAATTAATTTTTTTAAGTCTTAAAATTAAATAACAACAGCAATAAAGGGATATTTCTTTTGAATCCTTCTAAAAGCAACTTCTTCCCAAATCTAAAAGACTATCTGGCTTTCTTTAGTTTTTAAGCAGGTATTAAAATCACTGGGAAGGCACTTTCCTTTTAAAATTAGTAAAGTGGGGGCCAGAGCAATAGTACAGTGGGTAGTGCGTTTGCCTTGCATACAGCTGACCTGGGTTCTATCCCCAGCATCCCATATGATCCCCCTGGGCATTGCCAGGTGTGATTTCTGAGTGCAAAGCCAAGAGCGACCCTAAGCATCACCAGGTATGGTCCCAAACCAAAAATTAAATTAAATTAAATTAAATTGAAAAATTAGTAAAGGGTTTCAAATCTAACTCCAAATTTTCCAGATACACAAAACAAAAATATTACGCTCTCAGGTTACAGAAAAAACATAAATGACTTTAAATATCAATTATTTCATTCCTTCTTCCCTCTCGGAGAGCCTGGCAAGCTTCCGTGAGTATCTCGCCCCCACGGCAAAGCCTGGCAAGCTCCCCATGACATATTTGATATTCCAAACACAGTAACAACAAGTCTCACGATGGAGATGTTACTGGGCCCCCTCGAGCAAATCGATGAACAACGGGAGGAAACTGCTACAGTGCTACCGTGCAGTGCATAACTACATACCTTCTATTGCACTCTGAAGTAGAAAACATTTAAGTTTGAGCAAAAGTGAAAGAAAAGAGGCCAATATTAGCAAAACAATAGTTTACTTTTAGGAAGTAAATAGTTATATTCATTTTCTTCTCTATGTACAACAAAATTAAAATAGCCTCAAAACTGACAAAGCAAATGAAAATTAAGAGCTCTGAATATTTAAAAATAATACTCCTAAGGTTTTTTTTGTTTTTTAGGTAACACCTAGTGGCACTCAAGATCTACTTCTGGCTCTGCACTCTGGCATCACTCCTGGTGGCTTGGGAACCATGTGGGGTGCTGAAGATTAAAACTGGGAGGGTCAGTTTCAATGCAAGACAAACTCCCTACCCACTGTAATACTGCTCCAGTCTATCTGCTGGTATTTTAAAATTTGATAGATAGATTCATAGGTAGGTATTTTCAAGTAAAATATTCCGGGGGGGGGGGGGAGAGAACTAATTTCTGAATTAGGATTAATTTATCTCAGTATTCTCTTGCAAAATATCAATTTTAACATAATCCACTATTTCTTTTTTAAAAATATTCAACGGAGGGGCTGGAAGGAGAATATAGATCAGGCACTTACTTGCCTTGCAATGTAGCCTAACCTGGTTCAATTTCTCGCCACCAAAAAGTAGCTCCCTGAGTGCTACCAGGAATCATGAGCAGAGTCAGACATAATTTTAAGCACTGCAGGGTGTGCTCCTCCCCTCCAAAAACAAATAGATAAAAAAAATGTAAATGGGAACTAAGTTTCAATCAGCAGACCCAAGTAGATATTTTTAGTTTTTTTTTTTTTTTTTTTTTTTTTTGCTTTTTGGGTCCCACCGCACAGGGGTTACTCCTGGCTCTGCACTCAGGAGTTACTCCTGGCAGTGCTCAGGGGACAATATGGGACACCAGGAATCGAACCCGGGTCGGCCGCGTGCAAGGCAAACGCCCTACCCGCTGTGCTATCTCTCCAACCCTTAAGCATAATTTTTTAAAGAATCTATATTAATCTAACTACAAGTGTCATTCCAAGTTCCATCGAGTCAACTAATAACTTTAAATTTAGAAGTTATAATATAAAGTGCACACAAATTTGCCATAAAAATGCTGCAGACTATAAATGAAACAAACAGAAAATATACAAAAGATGTATATTTGAATGATCTTATAAAAAGAAAATGCACTGAGGGCAAGGGAGGTAGCCCACAGGTCTGGAGCATGTTTTTATGCCTGGGGGAAGACCTAAATTCTACTCTGAGTACCACTAAGTCCTCAAAGCACTGGAGCAGTGACTTCCCCTCCAAAAAAATAAAAACCACCCAAAAACCAACATACTAAACATAAACAATTTAGCCTTCCTTATACTAAAAACACATTTTCTTTTACAGATATAAACCAAGACACTTCAAAAAGGGAAGATGTGCTAATATGCTATTTTTTTAAGAGATAAAGTATACTAATCTTTTTGTAATTACTTAAAAATAGTTATTGAGGGGCTGGGAAGATAGCACAGCAAGTAAGGGCACTTGCATTGCACAGAGCTGACCTGGATTCGATACCTGGCATCCCATTTGGTGCCCAGAGCACCACAAGGAGTAATTCCTGATTGCAGAGCTAGGAGTAACCCTATCTGAATATGAACACAATTGGGGTGTGGCCCATAAACAACAGGCCTAAAATAAATAAGGTAAAGGTAAAGGCCCTCCCGTTGATCGTCGATTTGCTCGAGCGGGCCCAGTAACGTCTCCATTGGAGACTTTGTTGTTACTGTGTCTGGCATATCGAATACTCTCGGTAGCTTGCCGGGCTCTCCGAGAGGGGCGGAGGAATCGAACTCGGGTCGGCCATGTTGGCCGCTTGTAAGGCGAACGCCCTACCCGCTGTGCTATCGCTCAAATAATGATCAAATTTTAAAAATCTAATCCTTTTTCTTTAAAACCGCAAAATGTCAGTATCTCAATCCTACCTTTTTCTGAAGATGCCCCTTCATTCAAGATTTGGATTGCTCGTCGAATATCCAAGTTGAATAATGCCACAGCAGCAGCTCTCTCCCATTCCCCTTCTTGTACAAGGGAATTCAAAAATGGCCCCACATCTGCATCTGTTCCTTTCTTTATCCACCCACAAAGCTGTAAAGCTAAGATTCTCTCATCACTTAAATTCTGAATATCAGTTTGTTTATCAAGCCCACTCCAATTATGTCTGCTGGTTTCCACCATTCCTAAAAAAAGGGAAAAAAACCTTTTATATTAATTGCTTACTACTTTTAAATATATATATATATCTGGAAGAGTTTCACAAGTAACTATAGCAACAACAGATTTAATTTTCAACTTTTCAGTTGTAATCTATGTTGCATAAATACAAAAAATGCCACCTAACACATGTTGCTCAGTAATTTCATCTATTGCAATAAAAGTAGATGCTTGATGAACTAAACTAATTCTGACTAAACTTCTATAACTAATCTAAAATTGGGGATCACTATCCAATTTGCCATGTTCATTCCCTCCACATCTTCCAGCACTAACCTAAATTCCCCTTCAATTGGAACATAGGCTCAAAAAGTGCAAAAGAACCATTTTATTCCTAAGGTATCCCCAGTGTTTGAGATGCCAGGGATAGAACCTGGGTCAGCTGCATGCAGCAGATAGTTGTCCTTTCCTTTTGATTTCTGTCTCTCTATGCCTGCATGTATGTATATACATGAAAAGTTGAGATCCCAAATATTAAAGCACTCTGATAGTCTATAAAACTAAGACAGTAAGAATGCTTCCAAATTTATTTTCTCCTTACTAAATGGGAAATTATATCCTCATTTCTCTTTCACAGGAACTCTAGATAATCCTTGTAGGACTATATAGAGTGTAAAGGTTAAGGTGCTCGCTTTGCATGTAATTCACCCTCATTTGAACCCAGTATGCTCCTCAGTACCCTGGGAGGGAAGCCCTCAGGCACAGGGCCAGAAATAGCCCCCAATACCACAGATGAGGGCCCAAGTTCTCACTTTGCAAATAAATAAAACTGAAATTTTTCCATTACATTACAACCAATATATGTGATTTCAGTGGCAAAATAATTTCACTTAGAAAATTTGGTGTTAAATTCAGCAAACTAAAGACAAAACTCATAGGGTCCATTAACCACAACCCAAAATCATAAACATTTAAAAAAATTTTACCATCAAATGTGGCCAGAGTAATAATACAGTGAGGAGGGCTCTTGACTTACATGCAGCTGACCCAGGTTTGATCCCTGGCACCAAAGATGGTCCCCCAAGCCCCCAAGGAGTGATTCTTGAATAGAGGAAGGAGAAGCCCTGAGCACCGCTGGTTGTGGCCCCCAAAACAAAAGTTATCCCATCAAAATCACCATAACATAGTTATTATATTAACAGAAAGAATTTCCAAAATAATTTGGTTGCTCAACATGTCAAAAAAAACCATTTTCTCAGTAATTTATAGAAATTCTTATTTTTTAGATAATCAGATCAGCAGCAAACGTTTTTAAAAAATAATTTCTCTGTGGGAGGCAAAAAGGTAGGATGCATTGCATGATCCCTTGGTAAGCTTCTCCCTTTGAGTGCAAGTGCTATCTACGGCTACCTTGTGAAACACACCCAATACATCGCATCTGTCAGACCAGCGGTTTGCAACTACCAGTCCACAGATGGAGAAAACAGTTACCAGTCAGCTTGATTATAATTTCTGGTCCATGGACAGTATACAAGGTGTTTATCCACAGGTGTAGATGTTAGAGAATACTGCCCTCAACTCTAGTGTTTGAAAGTGACAAAAAGTAAAAAGAGGTTCACCTTCAATAACCAAACCTTCAATTTCATTTTTCTTTTTGGGTCACACCCGGCGTTATTCAGGGTTTACTACTGGCTCTGCACTCAGGAATTACTCCTGGCGATGCTTGGGAGACCATATGGGATATGGGGGGTCAAACCCAGGTTTTGCCACGTACAGGACAAATGCACTACCCACTGTACTATTGCTCCGGCCCCTTCAATTTGATTTTTGAAAGAAAAAAACTAATAAAACCCAACAAGGATCCTATAAATTATGTAATAAAATACTTCTTAAATACTAGTTCAAGAATAGTAAATACTGCATAAAATACAGCTATAAAGTCAATATCCCTCAAAAAGAATTTTGTATTTAAAAAAACAGTGCACTTAACAATATCTAGCAGACAAGAAATAGTGTTTATACAATTTATACTGAAATAACTAAATGATAATGTGAAGAGTGTCAAGAACACATAAACTATAAACACGCTGCAAAAAATAAAATAGAATTTTCTTACCCAAGGATGATTTCACGATTGACTTAATTCCTGCATAAACCAATGTCCCTTTGTTGCCTGGAGATTTTTGATCCATATCTTCAGTATACTGCTTCATAAGTATTTAAATACATAGGAAATAATAGTGATGAAACATAATAAATTCTTTCAAAGCTAAATTTATTATGATTTGGACAGATTTCCTCCTACAAAACTTGCAAAAGCAGTATTTCCAGTTCGACAATTTTACACAATTTTACGTTGTATTAAATTTAAGGGTTACAAAACTTGTACTTTCCTATAAAACAGCATATTTACAAGACCGACCTTTCAACAAACTTAAAAGATTATTTTTATTTCATTCACCTCATAAAATTCATAAAACAAAGGATATAGTGCAGAGTATACCAGAGTGACTTGAGCTGTGGATCTTCATTTCCAGCTAAAATATGATTCCTCCAGACTTGTTCTGTATCAAGCCCATATCTTGATAAAGCTCTAAGACGCATCTTCGTAGCTATATCTTTATCTAAAGAACTATCATTTTCTTCTTCTGCACATTCATACAAATGACGACCACAAGCCCACATTAAAGATGTAATTGGACTCCAAGCAAGAGATATTCTTTCAAATACAGTGAAATCAGACATTGTTCGATTGGGAGTTACTACTATCATTCGATTTTGACTTGTCGGGTGCCAAGCAAAGGAAGCGATGTAATTGTCACAAGGTTGCACACTTCTTTCAATTATTGTAGGTTCAGTTTCATCCCCAAGGGGAGTGGGTGTGTGTTGCATATCATATAATCTAATAATATTACTATCCCTTGTTAAAGTAGCAAGCAGTCCAGTCCTAGTTGGACACCACGCTACTTTTGTTAAAGGTTTTGGTTGCTCAGTCAAAGTCAAAACTGGTTTCTCAAATTTCCTAAGATCCCATATTGCAACCTGACCTTCATAGAAGGAAGCAACACGATCATGAAAGTATGGGTCTACTGTAACCCCCTGAACAGCTTTTGTATTTACAAACATCTTTTGGCTTGTATTCCGAAGATCAAATATGGCCAGATTACGATGCATACCAGCAAGGAGAAGCTTCTGGTCTCGTGGAAGCCAACAAAGAGAGAGACAAGCATCATTTTGTCCTAATTCATAAAGTGGCTTTGTTACTAGTAATGTTGTTTCAGTTTCACCTGCTGAAAGTCTCACTTTTTCCATTGGAACTATATCAGGGGTATATTTGCTGCAGATATCCCAAATAAGCACTGAAAAATCAGCTCTATGTTTATCTAGACCAGCAGCAAGCCAGTTACTATCCAATGGATTCCATGCTAGAGTATTGCACTGTCGTGCATGCTTTGGAACAAATTCTTTTCCAATTAAATCTTTGAATTTTGAGTTATGATCTTGACCAAGACTTGTAAGTACAACTCGCCCATTTGCTTGTCCAACTGCTAGGAGACATTCAGGATCATAATTGAGATACCAGGCAACACATTTCATATAGGGTGTATCTGAATTGATAGATAGTAATGTAGCTGCAGAGTCTTCAGATAAACGTAAAGATCCAGCTTTGAGTTCTGAATTCACAGTAGATTCCACATGATAAAGGCTTAGTTCTGAATCACAAACAACAAACCTATCAACCTGGTGTGGTGCCCACAATATATCAGGTTTGGTACCGCTCATGTTTATAGATGTACTTGAAGAGTCCGGTTAGGTCCATTCACTGAGAATGTAAAAAAAAAAAAAGTTTAAATGTCAATAACAGTACATGCATGATAAACTATTAATCAGGAAATCATATAGAGACCGGTTTTCAATATCTGTATTTCTTCTAATTGCAAGAATTCAATAGTATCTATTGGGAAGGGAAAAAGAACTTCCTCAAATAAGATGAGCTGGTAGAAATTTGAGTACTTAGTCTCGCTTTGTTTCACATGATCAATTAACTTAATTGCATAGTTACTTAGCTTTAATTTAATCTCAGGGTTAAAATATAAAATAACATCAGTGTGGGTGAGCAAATAAATATCATCCTTTAGAAGGGGATAAAACTTGAAAGGATTATGAGTCATGTTCTTAAGCAGTAATTTAGAGAAGCATCAACCAAAAGAAGTTTCTACAGTGAATCTGGAACCAAGGAACAAGATGGCTAGGGTGACATCTGACCACTGAGCACTTGAAAAGTGGCCTGTGCAAAATTTAAATTTTATTTAACTTACTTTTAAAAAAAATAAATTGGATTGTAAAAAATTACATATTTGGGTTTTTATTAGACACTATAATTTAAAACATCATTTTTAGTGTTTTTAAATTTAATTGAATTACCATGAAATATAGTTACAGATGATTATGTTTCAGTCATACAATGATCAAGTACCCATCCCTCCACCAGTGCCCATTCTCCACCACCAATGTTCCCAGTATCCTCCAGCCCCCCCTCTCCACCTCATCTCCCCTACCCCGGGCCCCCCTGTCTCTGTGGCAGGCACATACCCTCTCACTCTCTTTTTCCTTTGGGGTATTATGGCTTGCAATACAGGTACTAAGCGGCCATCATGTTTTTCTACTTTCAGTACTCACTGCATTCATTTGTGGAATATAAAATAACATATAAAACCTAAGGACAGTAGAGATAAAGGCAAAGAGGATCGCTCTATGATTTGGAAGCCGGCCTCACATGTTAGGGGAAAGGGCAGCTGGCACAAAGAAGGAACCACCAAGTATTTTTATTGTTTTAGGCAAATTGTGTTCTGGCACCAGTCCTACCACTAGTGTCAACTTCCCTCCACCAGTATCTCCACGGTTACCTCCCATTCCCTCCTACCTCCTAACCTGACTCTTTGGGTTTTTTTTCTTTCTAGATCTTTCAGTAGGTTTTTTTTTTAAATTAAATCACTGTGAATTACAAAATTACAAAGATATTTGTGATTGAGTTTCAGACGTATATTGTTCCAACAACAATCCTTTCACCAGTGTCCACTACCCTCCACCAATGTCTCCAGTTTCCCTTCCACTCCCCAACCTGCCTCAGTGGCTCGCACTTTTTCCCTCCCTCACTGTCCTGTTGTTCTTCCCATACCTAACTTATCTCCCTCACCTCTACCACAGTGCCAAGCTTCCCACTGAAGACCAGTTCTCCTGCTCTGCATTTCTATTGCCATTGGGTATTTGATATTCCCCTATGAGGTTTCTTTATATCCCATGTATGAGAGATCATGCTGAGCCTATTCCTCTCCCTCTGCCTGATTTCATTCGACATGATACTCTTCAGATCCATCCACACTGCAGCAAATTGCATAACTTTATCTTTTCTTAACACTAAGTAGTGTTGCATTGTGTATATGTACCATAGTTCATCCAGTCGTATGTTCGTGGGCATTTGGGTTGTTTCCACATTTTGACTATTGTACATAGTGCTACAATAAACATAGGAGTGCAGATGTCTTCTATGATGTGTGCTTTGGGGCCCATGGGCAATATTTTATTTCCCAGGAGTGGAATTGCTGGGTCATATGGAAGTTCAATTCCTAGCATTATAAGGAATGTCAGTCTTCCCAAACAGCTGGACAGTGAACATTCCCAGCAGCACTGAATGAGGGTCCCTATATCCCCACATCCTCACCAACACTGGTGGTGATCTTTTTAATGAGTGCCATCAAATGCGATCAAATTTGGTGGTGTGAGGTGGTATCTCTTGTTCTGCTTTGCATTTCCAACAGCAGTAATATAGAGCATTTTTTCATATGCTTTTGGCCATCTGTATTTCTTCTTTGAAGAAGTTCCTGTTCATGTCTTCTTCCCAATTATCTAATAGATTTTTTTTTCTTGTAGAGTTCTACCAATGCTTTATATACCTTGGATGTTAATATTAGCCCTCTGTCAGATGAGTGGTCGGTAAATAAATTCTCCCAGGTGTGAGCTGTCATTGCATTCCGGTCATTTCTTTTGAGATGCAGAAGCTTATTAGTTTAATGTGGTTCCATTTGTTTATCTCTGCTTCTGCTTGCTTGGTAAGTGGCACTTCACCCTTAAGGATGCCTCAAGCTTCAATGTTAATGCAAATAAATGCCACATGTGGCTAACATAAGGCAGATTTAAAGTACAGTGCTATTAGTAAGACAGCAGCTTTTCTCAACTTTCAAAAATAAGTTTACATAACAAAATAAACACTGGAACATATTAAGCAGAATTGAGTTTAAATCCTAGCTCTGACATATTAAATTATGACTTTGTTGTTTTGGGAGTCCTTTTATTTTGTCACCTATGTTGTTTTGGGTGCTCTTTAATTTTGTCATTTTGTCAACATAAGAGTCGGTTTAGCTATGTTTTCAAAAACTTACCATCTTTCATGTACCACTTGTGTCAGTATTCTTATATAAACTGGGTCATTTTTCAATCCTAGTTCCTTTAAATTTCCTAAAGCATATAAATCATGAATCAACATGCTAATTATTACTAATATACACTATTTTTAATATACACTAAAAAGATAATATGCTTGATCATGTTCTACCTAAAATTATCCTATTTGTGATCACTGGTACATACCTCTCACTTTGGGAAACTGAATTAAATGTTCACTTAGAGGTCTGTATCTAATTTTATAAAATCTGAATACTGAAATAAAATTCTTGAAAAGATATTCTAGCAAATTAAGCACTAAAATAGGTATCTTAGAAATGAATAATAAAGGCTACCTACAACAAATTCCAACCAAGTGTCTGTTTATAAACAAATCTGCCTAAAGAATGCAGTCTACATTAAAAATGAATGAAGGAAAAAAAATGAAGTATTTAAAATTTTTATGACAAATGGTGTGTGCATAACCATGTTGTCAGTTCTGTGACTGACTGTGAATCAATGGTTCTTCATTCTATAACCCCTATCCCAATACAAAGCCTGACAAAGGCTCTTAGTGTATACTAAATAAATCCAAATCAAACATTTTTTCCTTTACTCTGATTTATTTTTAAGGTTATTCTTTTGGGAGAGTGTGTGTGGGGGGGGGAGGGGGTCATGCAGTGATACTCAGGGGTTACTCCTGGCTCTGAACTCAAAGATTACTGGTAGTGGTTCTTTGGTGACTATAAGGGATGATGCCAGGGATTAAACCTTGATCAACTGTATGCAAGACAAGTACCCTACCAGCTGTACTATTTCTCCAACCAGTTTCAGTTTTGGTGGGATTATTTTTACTTACTTTTTTTGTTAACTTTTTTGTTTAGTTTCAGTTATCAGTCTAGAATTATCAGTCTAGAATTTCATAAAATCAAAAAGTTTTGATGACAGGGAAAAACATTTAAAAATTATGATGCTGACTTTTTAAACGTCTGTTAACAGTTCTAAAGTCTAAAACCAATCATTTCAATTATAATCTTACTAGCAGCCTTAAAGTCTTCATTTTCTTGCCACTGTCAATTTGCCTTTCTCCAATTCTAGATCAACCGAATTACTGTCTCCTTCTATTCAAGATGCCAAGTCTTATACTACTGTAAACTGATTCTCATAAATTAAAGTCTACAAAGTTAGGTCCTATAATGCTAGCTCGGAAATTCATATATTATCTAATCCCTTCTTTAAAATCCTCTAATAGTTTCCAACTGCTGTTAGTAGTCTTCCAAACCTTTAATTTAATCTATAAAATCCTAAAATGCTTCACCCTCTAACTACTACTTAAGCATCAAGGCACATCATTCTCCTTACAAATTAAATCCCAGCTACACTACACTTCTTTTCAGCTCTTAGAAAATACCATTAACCTCATCAAGTCTTTGCAAAATGTTTGCAAACATTCTTTCCTCTCTTCTTGGCCAATTTAATAATTGTTCAACTTGGACATCAACCATCCTCTATCCTTTACCCACCCTAGATAAGGTTACCTGTGTATGTACTTTTTTGGAAGGTTCTCAAAGAGTGCTCAGGAGATACATCATCCCCACCTATGATACTCCACAATCTGGATCATAAGTTCAGTGCAAAGGCCTAAGGGTGTGATGCTGCTTTGGCATTATGGTGCTAAGAATACCCAGGCACTTCAGTGATTTGAAGGCCTCTAGGGCCACAACCACACTATATGGTGCCAGAAACTGAACCTGTGTAGGACTCATGTACCCTAACCACTGTACCATCCCCTGGCCCTGTATATATACTCTTGAACAGTATTCCTTCCTTTTAAATAACCTTCGCTGTCTCCCTTATTAAATTCTAAGTTGCAAAAGAGCTTTTCATGTGTACCTTTAGTACCCAGAACTGGGCCAAGCTATTGGATAGCTAATATTTGTTCAAAGAATGCATTCAACTCTTCTTCTGGCAATCCTCACAGTACTATCTTCAAGTTTTGCTAATCTCATCATGCTTCCAAGTCCACAACCCTTCATAGGAGAGGTGGCTTCAGCCAAAAACACAAGTTCCAAAAATGGGTGAGAGCCCAGGAAACTGGACAGAGAGAGGGCTAGTAGGGCTCGCCTTGCACATCACTGACCTGGATTCATTTCCTGGTACCTCATATATAGGCTCCTGGGGAGTACAACCTGAGCCAGGTGTGACCCAAAAACAAACAAAAAAGGCTGGGCCTAAAGGCAGCTACTAATATAGGTAGCACTGTAGCACTGTAGTACTGTCCTGTTGTTCATCGATTTGCTCGAGCGGGCCCAGTCACATCTCCATTGTGAGACTCCACATAAAAAAATATTTGTCTCTGGCTAAAAGGGTTATGAGTAGAAATAGTTTTAGAAGCCCTGCTCTAATTAGTACTTTCATTTATTCTGTAAATATTTATTGGGAATCTTCTGTTTTCTAGATCCTCTTGAAAATACAGGGAACACAGTACTGAATAGAAAAACTTAAGATCCTGTTTGCCATGTACTGAATTGGATACTCCCCAGATTTATATGCTTAAGTCCTACTCCTCCATGGGACTACACTGGGAAAAGAGCATTTTGTTTGCTAGTTGGTTTTGGGAACACACCCAACACAGGTTAAATCTTGGCCGTGCACTCAGGAATCACTATTGGCAGGCTGGGGAAGCTATGTGAGATGCAGGGGTTACCCAGGAGATAGGGCATTTTTAAGAAATAAATGAGATCATAAAAGTGAAGTCCTTATCTGAATTAACAACTTTTTAAAAAGAGAGTAGAACTCTCTATCCATTAGTCAGAACACAGCAAAGTAGCAACTGTCTGCAAGACAGGAGGGAGTTTGAGTCCACCCAAGAGAAAGATAGCACCGGTACCTTGATTTCAACTTCTAGTCAACAGAACTGAAAAAATAGATTCGTATTGTTAGTGACAGGGTTTTCAATCACCAGTCCCAGAATCAGTACTAGTCCACAAGTATAAAAAGTTTTAAAAACACTGGTGTACACCACCTTGTATATGGCATTTTATAATTGCAATCTATGCTAATATTGATAGTCTAACAGAGAGTCTACATTGTTGTGCTAAAATAATGTACAATCTTGTAAAGAATTTAAGAACAAAGATGAAAAACAAAATCCTCATACAATAAAAACAGCGAAGACAAAGAAAAAGAACAGATACTGCCATGCAGATATTCATACTCGCACCCCTAACCCTCACAGGCTAAATTTCTTTGTTGTTGTTTTAGCCATGTCCTGTGGTGCTCTCAGGCCTTTTTCCTGGTACTGCAATCAGGGTTCACTCCAGGTGTGGGGCCAGGGGGTAGGGAGTGGGAGGGGACAGTAGGGGGATGACAACAGGGCCATATGCCAATGCCCTTCAGGCTGTACTATTATTCCAGCCCCCAGGGTAAATTTCTTCTTAGAGATATCTTAAGATACAGTCCATTGGTACCTGAAGGATACCATAGTAGGTAGGGCATTTGCCTTGCACGCTGCTGACTCAGGTTCAATCCCTGTCATCCCATACGGTCCTGTGAGTGTCACCAGGAGTAATCCTGAGTGCAAAACAAGGAGTAACCCCTGAGCATTGCCAGATGTGACACAAAAAGCAAATAAAAAAATTAGTCCATCTGCATACCTCACTGAAAGATTAATATAGGCGCCACCTTTTAATCTAGACTTCTGGCCCATATTTATTTATAGTCATGATCGGTGCTAATAAGATTTTGTGCCACATGGAAAAATTCATATTAAAGACCATAAATAACAGCTGTAATTTTTAAAACTATTTTATTCACAACTGAAAATGGAAAATCATCAGGTTTCTTAAAATATTATGCATTTAAAATACATCAACATCCACAAAAATCTGATCTCACTAATTCATACAGAAGTTTAGAAGTTGAATTAAATAGACTAGTTGAGTTAAAATAGTCTATTTAAATAGTTAAATAGACTTTTCTTACTCAATGCAACAATAAAGTGAAGATCAGATGTGTTGGTTCTTGTCAAATACTTCTAAACTCCAATCAAGATTATTGCAAAGAGAAAGGATCAACTATGTGATAATAAAAGGTTAAGTGCAAAACTAAAATGGAGACACTGAAACTAAAATAGGGTCATTCCCAATGTTGTTAGGGGAACTAGAGCCTAAGGATCTACATCTGAGGATTAAAATTGGCCCTAGAGTATAAGGAGGAAAAGGAAAGAAATAGTGAAGGAGAAAGTAAGAAAAGAGATAAAAAGCAACAGGAACAGGGGTCAAGAAGACTCAGGTACATTAGTGGTGTTAAAGAATGAGAGATTTAAAACATCTCCCTACCAGAATCAACTGAAATACAAGAGCCAAACTGTGGCGTATTCGATATGCCAAACTTTAATAACCAACTTTGGGTAGGGGTGGTAGGAGAGAGAATCTGGGAACACTGATGGAGAGAAGCTGACACTGGTGGCAGATTGGTGATGAAACATTTTATGTCAAAAATCCAACTACGAATAACTTCTTAACTCATAGTGCTTTAATAAAATTTTGTAAAAATCCAATGTATTACAAATATCAAGGCATTGACAGGGCATTAACTGAAAACCCAAGTCCTTCAAAACAACAGAATGTGAATTAACAAGTCACATACCATAAAGCCTAATCCTAAGAGTGTATCTATATCCACCCTATGAATAATTACACTTCTTTACATGAACCCATATGCTCACAGCAGCATTATTCAAAATGGCCAAAGCATGAAATTAGTCCAAGTGGGTAGGACATTTGCCTTGCACGCGGCCGACCCGGGTTCGATTCCTCCGTTCCTCTCGGAGAACCTGCCAAGCTACCGAGAATATCCCGCCCGCACAGCAGAGCCTGGCAAGCTACCTGTGGCGTATTCGATATGCCAAAAACAGTAACAGCAAGTCTCACAATGGAGATGTTACTGGTGCCCACTCGAGCAAATCATTTGAGTATCACAAATAAACAACAATGGGAGGACAGTGCTACAGGGCAGTGCAGTACCCAAACACAGCTGAATAAAGAAATGAACTTAAGAGACTACTATTCCTCTATTTTAAAATATGAAATGATGTCTTCAGTGACAACATGGTTGGAACATAAAGTGACTATACTAAGTCAAACAGTTGAGGAAGTGAAACACAATTACTAAAGGGTTTAACTCAAGTGGCATACGAATAACCAAAGGAAGCAACTGGCAGAATACAACAAAAATAACATTCTGAAAAATGTGGCGGTTACTCAAGAGAAAGAAGAGGAGGTAGCAAGAATAGGAGAGAGGTTATATGGATAGTGATAACACTAAAACTTTGAAGTGGGGGCAATGAGACATTTACAAAGAAGAGGAGTGTACTCCTAAAGTTTCCTAAAGTTTAAAGTATTTTAAACCAATGGTAAATCAATAAAATTTTGGTTAATTTTGATGAGAAATGAGCACTTGTTAAACTTCAAGGTGTGAATCTGAATCTAAATGTAAATTAATTATTGCTTATCCCATCCATTTCACCCCCAGTTTTCAAATCTCTTTTTAAAATTTTGTTTTTGGGTCACACCTGGCAGTGCTCAGCGCTTACCCTGGTTGCCAAGGAACTACAGTAAAGGGAACTACAGCTGGGGATTCAACTGGGGTCACCTGTGCAAGGCAAATACCTTAACCCCTGTATCTACTCTCCAGCCTCTAACAAAAGTATTTTTTCACAATTCAGATGGATACTGAATCGTAAAATGAATCACTAGTTATATGGTGGTAAGTTAAAAAACAAAGAAAAGAGACCTCTAAGTACTTACTGGGTGGACTTGACAGATTCCTTAAGATGAGAAAGTTAAAAATAAAACCTATCTCATCTCACTAAATTGTGATACTCAAATGAATTTTTTACACCCAGCTGAAAGGTTAACATCTCTGCTACTCCCCCTGAACCCCTGAGCAGCTAGGAAGGTAAATGTTTTCCAGTGCTAAAGAGACTGAAAAGCTGGGAGCGAAATGGGTAAGATAAGCAATAATTAGTTTACATTCAGATCCTCACAAGTGTTCATTTCCCATCAAAGGTTTTTGAGTTGACTCTGTACTCCTCCCCAGAATACCTATCAACAGAATTGTCCAAAAACAGCCATAGGTGCCAATGTATTGAAAAGTCAGCAACCACACTAAGGAAGAAAGAAAAATGAAAAAAAGTTTTTACAATACACTTTATTTAACCCAATGTGAAAACAATATGACCATAAGCAATCGAATAAGATTAATGAACACTTCGACTTTGGGGAACAAGCCTGGAAACTCAATGTGTACTTTACCCCTAAAGCACAGGGCATTCACGTTCCGGGGCTGAAAACAAAGTGTGTATATAGCCAATAACCCCTTCCCATCCTTCTTCAATATCTTCCACTTGTCTTCCCTCGACAAACAACAACAGCAGCTTCAAGAAACTTCCACCATCACCGTCTTCCAGGAGATGGAACTGAATAGATCCACATTTTCCATCAAATAAATGCTATACAGACGTCAGGCCTGCAAAATGCAGTCATTGGCTAGGCAACTGAGCAAAGGGCCCTCGTGGACTAGGTGAGAGGCTGGAAACGTCCTAGGAGGAATTTTTCATTTCTCTCATTTGCAAAGAACAGAGTGGTCGCCAGCAAAGCTCTCTTTCACGCCCTCTCTGAAGTACGCACTCGGGGCACGACTAGAACAAGACAAGTTGCTATTCCCGGGAAACCTGGAATCTGAGAGCAACTCCCACGCTCAGCACAGGCGGGGCTGCGCCTCCAGTTCAAGGAGAGGCCCCGGTTCCGCACAGACCCACTCGGGCGCGGGCTGTGGCAAGGCCCCGTGGCCCCTGAGGCAGTAGCAAGGCGCCTCCACGCTGCTCCTGAGCGCCCGCCGAGGCCCGGGCGTTCGCTCCGCGCGGTTACCCCGCAGAGCTGAACGCGACTCCCCTCACGCCGCGCCTCGGCTCGGCGGAGGCCCGCAGGCCGGTCCCTGGGGCTCGGGGCTCTCAACCGAGCTTTCCCCAGGCACTGGCGGCAACCCCGGCGAGCCTCCCAGGCAGGGGAGTGAAGACGCAGACCCGGCCTCACTCAATCACTCACTCACTCACCCACCTCGGGCGGCAGCGTGGACGCCGCACAGACGCTTCCGGTCTCAGCGGCCGCCCCTCCCCGCCGCGGGAGCCGGACTCGGGCAAGATGGCGGCCACGACGGTGCGGTCAGTGACCCGGTCTACTGGGCGGGGTCCACGACCCCACCGCCGCCGCGCCAGCGGGGTCCAGACCTCGTCTCGGCCTCGTGAAAGGAGTTCCGCTAGTCCCGCCTCCCCGGGCCCGCGAGTGGCTCCGCCCCCCAGAGGCGGGGCCAAACGCCCCGGAGGCCCCACCCTTTTCGGAGCGCTCTAGGCCACTCCTGTGGCCCAGATCGTGGTCCCGCCCTTGGCCCCGCCCACACACACCCCTTGGTCCCGCCCCTTAGCCCGGCCTCTAGCCCCCGCCAGTGCGATCCCGCGTACTGATACAGGCCGGGATGCTTTTGTTTGCGTTTAATCTTGATTGCTTATTTGATATCCCAAACTGGGAGATTGGATTGAACTCAAAATTGAGCCAGCTGTGATTCAGGCAGGAAATAATGAGCAGCATACTTTGTTAGGAGTAAAAAAACCACAAGTGGGGGCCCTCACACTTTTTAGGGGGTCAAGAAGACTTCCACTAGGCAAAGATAAGGACGATGAGATTGAGGTTAGCTAGGAAAACAAAGGCCTTGGGAAAAATCTTTCTGGGCGCAGCCAAAGGGTAAGTGCAGGTCAGCAGGGAGGGCAAACCGTGGAGAATGGATGAAGTGTGGGTGGATGAACAGAGGAAATAGGGAGAGAAAAAATGTATCCCGACGGCTTTTTGTTCAGATACACCATAGTGAAGTCCTGGAAGATGCTAAACCTAGATAAGGGCTGATCAGTTTTTCTGCAACAAAGAGGGAAGGGATAAGACAAGTACTTGAAAGAAATATGATGGTAACCCAAATTACCTAAGATATGGAAGGTGCAGATGGAGAGAATGTGTGACAGGGGGTGGGGGGAGGTATCTAAAAGGTGATATGAACAAAGCTTGATGACAGGCTGAGTGAAGGTAAGAGAAGTATGGAAGTTTCTGGTTTCCATGATTGAGTGACTAGTGCTGAAGTTGATGTTACAAAGCTTTTTTTTCGCGTCTGATATTCTTGGTTTGCCTATTCAAACTTGAAAGTAAGTGGAATTTAGTCCTCAAGGTCTTCCAGACTATTCCTGGCACTGTGCTTTGAAGTGGCCCCCAGTGTGCTGGAAGACCATAAGTAGTGGCAGTGTTGGGATCTAATTGGATTTGGCAGCATGCAAGGCAAACACCTTATTCCATGGACTTATCTCTCCAGCTCCCGTAAATATTATTTAAATACAGCTATGTTGCTGTGTTCCAAGGAAAGCTCATTTATAGAAATGAGTGGCAGATTAGATTAGTTTGCTATTTACCATTTTAGAAAAATATTAAAAGGCAGAGAAAACATTAGTGGTTTGTTGTAGGAATAAAACAATAATAAATGGAATGTGCATAATAATTCAAGCCTTATTTTATAAAGAGTTAAACAGAAATGTCAATAGAATTTCTATGTGGTAGGTTTAAAGGAAGTATTATTTTCCTTATTACACTTTCATATTTTTCTAAAAATTAGCATGATAAATTAAAACCCTATTAACAAGAAAAAACTATTGAATGTTATATTTAAAAGTATCTTTTGAGGGATTAGGACGCTAAATTCCATAATGATAGTTGGCACACTGGAATCTCAGCAGGATCTGACATTCCCTGAGTTCCTGTTATGGAGGAGAGGCTCTGTCTGCTCATCATCCTCAACAATGAGGAGCAGGTCCCCCCACAGAATTAATAAGGTTCAAGCAACATGGTAAACTCTTATTAAATGGGCAAAGTTTCAGAATAATAACTGCCATATGGATGATGATAACATTTTCGCCTGTGTTTCTTGCTTTCCCACAAGGTCTCTGTTTCATATATGGCAACTTATAATAAGAATATTTGTGTGTTCACACCCAAAATTAATATGCTGATATTCAAATTCCAATGTGATGATAGTTTGGAGATCTCATCAATGGGATCAGCAACCTTAATAATAAAGAGATTCCATGGGGCTGGAGTGATAGCACAGCGGGTAGGGCACTTGCCTTGCACACGGCCGACCTGGGTTCTATTCCCAGCATCCCCAAGCACTGCCAGGAGTAATTCCTGAGTGCAGAGCCAGGACTAACCCCTGAGCATCACTGGGTATAACCCCAAAAGCAAAAAAAAAAAATAGTAAAGAGACTCCAGTGAGTTAGTTCTCTATTCTTTTCTGTCAGCTGAGGATGTGAAGGGTACAATCAGGAGTTTGGGACCATGTACTCTCACCGGAACCATATTATGCTGGTACCTTGATCTCAGAGGCATAGATTCTAGATCTATGAGAAATAAACCTGTCATTTATAGGCTACCAAAATTACTATGAGTACTTTGTTGTGGGAGACTGAAATAACTAAGAAACTTAATTCATTCATACAAACCACACAAAGCCCAAGGTAAGTGTAAAAGTAAGTACTATTGTTACTAAAATAAAAAAATGATTCCCCAAACCAACACTTCAAGATAAGTGTATGAATCTAACTGTAAAAATAGTGCATTCAGAACCAGTATCATTTTTGAGAAGATCTGATTGTTTTAAATCAATAATTTGGACTATTTCTGATGTAATGTATAATGTGTCTGCAAACCTTCATCTAGGTAATGAATTTAACTCTCATATTCCAAATCTTTCACCACCAGTATCTTAATTGGAAAACTAAACTTGACTTTGTTAGTTTATTATAAACATTTCCCCAGAATGAATTGAAAAAAGGAGAAATTAGTAGCATCAAGGTGATAGCTCAAAGGACTGAACACATGCTTCACATTTGGGATCCTTGGCATGCCACATTCCCTAGCACAATTGGAATAACTCCCAAATGACCTTGAGCATCTCCAGGTGTGACCCCAAAACAAATCAGAAACATAAAGAGAATTAAAATTAAAATCAGGACATAAATGTTGATAAAAGAAAATTGCTTCCTAAGTTTTACCACTATTTTTAAAAATGTTACAACTTTATTAAGTTATCAGTTTAGCTACAGACATTCAATATTCCATCACCAATCCCACCACCATTGCACCTTCCCACCATCATTATTTACAATTCTTCCTACCACTGCTGAAGCTTGTCCTCATAGCAGACCCTGAATAATTTATTTCATATTGCATGCTATAAATAATTTGTTAAAAAGATGATTTAAAAATGTTCCTTAGAAGAAAATTAGTGAAGATTACTGTATCACAATGGAGACATTAAGCCCTTGTATAGGATATTTCTAAGCTGTTGTTACAGGTTAAGCCTTCCATGTTGATATTTTGTTAATCAAGACCAATCTGGTGTGCTACTCCTAGATTATCAATGTTGTAGAATTTGAGATGTTGCTCCAGAGTGTCCAAAATTTTTAATGGGATTGTACAGCTGGAGTTAAATTTTTAACTGGGTGGCAGATTTGGTGTCCGTCTGTGACTACCAGGTCATCTGGAAGAGCAGGGCAGTGAAAGGAGGTAGCCTATCCCTAACTCCATGAAAGCCTGGAAATTTCAGTCACAACACCCATGGGTATCCTGGATGACTCAGACTTACTCAGGTTCCAGGAGAAATTCTGCCCAAGTTTTAACCCTTTCATAAGAACCAATATTTTTTGAGGGAGGGTTTTGTTTGGGGGCTACACCTGGGGGTTCTCAGTGGTTACTACTGGTTTTGTGTTCAGGGACCACTCCTGGAGATGTCAGGAAGCAAACCCAGATTATCTGTATTGCAAGACAAGTGCTCTGTACACTTTACTCTCTGGCCCAAAGACCAGGGCCCCAAATGTACAAAATAAAACCAAGAGCTGGACTCTTGGTTCATAAACAAGTTTTTTTAAACAAGTTTTAAAATTGTTTACTTTGTTCCATTTACTATAATTATTGTAATTTAAGGGCTGGAGCAATAGCACAGCGGATAGGGTGTTTGCCTTACACACGGCCTAAGTTTTACCAGCTGACCCAGGTTTGAATCCTCTGCCCCTCTCCAAGAGCCCGGCGAGATACTCTCTGTAGATACCGAGAGTATCTTGCCAGCACGGCAAAGCCTGGAAAGCTCCCCGTGATGTATTCAATATGACAAACACAGTAGCAACAAGTCTCACAATGGAGATGTTACTGGGCCTGCTCGAGCAACTCGATGAACAATGGCAGAACAGTGCTACAGTGCAGTGCTATTGCAATTTAAAAACATTGAAAAGAAACATGAAGAAATTATACAGAGGATAAGGTACTTTCTTTACATGAGGCCAACCCAAGTTCAGGTCCCAGCATTCCCTGAGTGCAGAACCTGTAGAAAGTCCCAGAGATTATGTGGAGTCTTCAAAACAAAACAAAACAAACAAAACCACCAAAACAATCTTCTTTTGAAAAACATTAAAAAGAACTTTAAACTTGAAAAGGTGACAATGACTTGAAAAGAGGTATTTAGGTATGTTGGCAACATGTTTAAGTGTTAGGAGTGATCCAGTTTAATTCGATAATATATAATAGAGAATAGTTCCCATGTAACAAGTGCAAAAGATGCTTGAATAGGGAAAGGGCAAGGAAAAGGTCAAGTATCAGCATGAGATGTTCCTATTCTGTTCCAACGTTTTTCCATCTTGATCGCTTAATCCATACTAGTTCCAGCTCTACTGAATTGTTCCCAATTATTTTAATATAGCACTTTCTTATAATGTGAATCTGTTCCGTTGCTTTCTCAGAATACCCAACACTTAAAACACTTAAATTCTATCCATCTCTTAATATATATATTTCTCCATAAAGTCTCTTATAGATGAAGGCAATATCTATCTATCTGGAATTCTTGTTTACATACCCTTATCAGTGTCTAAGTCTTTGTCTCTCTCCCCCTTCATTTTCTCTTCTATACGCACAATTATGTATTGTAAAAATAATGCTATTTATATATTTTATATGCTCATATACTTCTACTGTGGATTTTTTAAGGGTAAGGTATAGTTTAGAGTAATCATTAATTCCACTTACTATTGAGCTAAAACAACAAATGCATAATAAAAAAGTTTACAAACACACATTCCATTCCAATAGAAACTGTAAAAATATTATTTTGAACAAAATATTAAAGTAAGTAATGTTGATACATCTACCATGCAAAACCGTTTCTAATAGCAGCTGCCTCAGAGCTTATTGGAA